TGAGGAAGAATCGTGTTATTGATTTTTTCTTATTTTTTTTAGTTCACCAATGTACAGTAATTATTATAAAGGGCAAAATTTTGTATTGTTCTTGGTGAGCTGCACAGTTTTGCATCACCACTATTACTACCACCAGCACCACCACCACCATCCCCAGCACCATCCACAGCACCATCCCTTATCACCACCCCTAACACCCCTATCACCACCCCTAACACCACCCCTAACACCCCTATCACCACCCCTATCACCACCCTAACACCCCTATCACCACCCTATCACCACCCCTATCACCACCCTATCACCACCACCCTATCACCACCCCTAACACCCCACCACCCTATCACCACCCCCACCACCCCTATCACCACCACCTAACACCCCTATCACCACCACACCCTATCACCACCCCTAACACCCCTATCACTATCACATTAAGGAAACCGTCTTATGTGAGAATATTAACATCACTTTCCATTCGGTGTCTCCTATCTCGAAGTCACGTTTAGCATTGACCTTTGACCTCAGTAAGTCTTTTATATCAAGTTACGACATAGAGGGGGGGGGTGTTATAATGGATGGAACAGTAGTCTGAAGGTGGACGAGAACTAGTCAGCGGTATGGAGAAACACACACACACACACACACACACACAGAGGAACATTTCTGGGTCAGGCAGGGTGCAACACGTGACTCATGACCCCTGACCTAATTATTTTCTACAATTACACCAACGAATTCCGCCATGTAACCCTTAACCCCCACCCCCCCAAAGAAAAAAAATCGGATCACCTGAAGAATTGTCACCCCAGAGTTTGGCAGGGTGACAATTCTTCAGGTGGGATATCCTGGGGTGATGAATCTTCAGGTGGCAACACCTGGGGTGACAATTCTTCAGGTGGGGTCAGGACCCTCCATGGTTAGGTTAGGTGTATATTATTCTTATTTTTTTCTTTAAACTTTTAAATTTTTGTCTTTAAACTTTTCACAATAAAGATGCATAACACAAAGGAATATATTTGTTATCCTATTATGCAAATTATATTCACTGTGGGCTGGGGTGACGATTCTAAAGGTGATCCGAAAATTCTACTATGTTGTTGTTGTTTTCGGTGATATTTTGGTTGGTTTCCTTCCTGGCAGAAATGACGTTAAAGGGAATTGGTGTTCGTGATCTCCCTAACCTAACCTAACCTAACCTAACCCAACCCAACCCATGGAGTGTGACGTAGTAATGAGAGATACTTTACTTTCCTGCCAGAGGTTGTATAGTTATGTTGCCCTTTCAGGATTCGGTATTTGATTTTATGTGAAATAACGATTTTTAATATTCAATTCACACTGTGATCGAGTGAATAAAGCTGTGAACACGAAGGGATAATATTGGTGTGTGTGTTGCTTGCTAGAGGGAGCAGCACAGGTAGGGGGGCACGCTAGCCTCACCTGCTCTGACTCATACCGACTGACGTCACCAGGGTTGGGGGTTCCCCCTCTTACTGACCACATATGAGGGTGAGAGAAGCTTGAAACAAAACATTGCAGTGTAATCACGTTTGTAACATGAGAGAGAGAGAGAGAGATTTATCATCAGCAGGCGAGATAATTTCATTCCCTACCATGCTCGTTCCCTGCCTCACCATACTTAAGAACATAAGAATGGAGGAAACTGCAGCGGGCCTATTGGCCCATACTGGGCAGTCCCGTTTACACCCAACCCCTATTGCTCATATAACCATCCAACCTATGTTTGAAGCTATCCAGCGTATTCGAGTTAATGATGATATTTGGTAACTTGTTCCATTCATCCACTACTCTGTTATCAAACCAGTGTTTACCCATTTCGCGCCTAAATCTAAATTTGTCTAATTTAAAACCATTGTTACGAGTTCGCTCCTGGTTGGATAGTTTGAGTACCTTTGTAATGTCCCCTTTGTTCAGCCCTGACTTCCATTTATACACCTCTATCAGGTCGCCTCTCGCTCTTCGTCTACTTGCTCCATATAACCTTCTTCTACCATACCAGGCCACACACACCATACTCCCTTGACCACAACACGCACTGTACTCCTCACCCTTACCACAATTGCATCATACCGGCTCACCACCAGCATCACTACCACTGCCTTGCACGGCTACAAAAGGACTTCAACGCCTCTCTCTCCATCAGACTCTCCCTCCTCCTCACCCCCTCCCCTTCTACTCCCCCCCCCCTTAGTCAGTCTCTTGCATGCCGCCCCAACGGTGAGACAAACCTTACATGGCTACAGAAACCAGTTCAGCATACACATACACAGTGTGAACGATCACCAGTCTAGTTTTCACCAGTTATTATATATCAGTCATTCTTTCAGTACCATCTGCTCACCTGCCTCAAGACTGGAACATTTCTCCCATCCCTCCTTTCCTCCTTCCATGCCTCCCTCCATGCCTCCCTCCTTCCCTCCTTCCTTTCCTCCTTTCCTCCCTCCCTCCTTCCTTCCTTCCTTCCCTCCCTCCTCCCTCCCTCCCTCCCTCCCTCCCTCCCCCTCCCTCCTTCCTTCTTCTCCTCCCTCCTCCTTTCCTCTCCTCCCCTTTTCCTCCCTTCCTCCTTCCTCTCTCCTTTCCTTCCTTCCCTCCCTTCCTCCTTTCCTCTATTCCTCCCTCCTTCCTCCTTTCTTCCTTCCTTTCCTCTCCTCCTTTCCTCCCTCCCTCCTTTTCCTCCTCCCTCCTTTCCTCCCTCCCCTCTTCCTCCTTCCCTCCTCTCCTTTCCTCCTCCCTCCCCTTTCCTCCCTCCCTCCCTCCCTCCCTCCCTCCTTCCTCCCTCTCCTCCTTCCTCCCTCCCTCCTTCCCTCCCTCCTTCCCTCCCTCCCTCCTCCCTCCACCCTCCTTCCTTCCTTCCTTCCTTCCTTCCTTCCTTCCTTCCTTCCTTCCTTCCTTCCTTCTTCCTCTCCTTTCCTCCCTCCCCTCCCTCCCTCCTTTCTCCTCCCTCCTTTCCTCCCTCCCTTCCTCCCTCCTTCCCTCCCTTCCTCCTCCTCCCTCCCTCCCCTTTCCTCCTCCCTCCCTCCTTCCTCCCTCCCTCCCTTCCTCCCCCTTTCCTCCCTCTCTCCTTTCCTCCTCCCTCCCTCCCTCCTTTCCTCCTTCCTTACTTCCCTCCTTCCTTCCTCCTTCCTTCCCTCCTCCCCTCCCTCCCCTCCCTCCCCTCCCTCCTTCCCTCCCTCCCTCCTTCCTCCTTTCCTCCCTTCCTCCTCCTCCTCCTTTCCTCCTCCTTCCTTCCCTCCTCCCTCCCTCCTTCCCTCCTCCTTTCCTCCCTCCTCCCTCCTCCCTCCCCCTCCTCCTCCTTTCCTCCCTCCCTCCTTCCTCTCCTCCTTCCTTCCTCCCTCCTTCCTCCTCCTCCTTCCTTCCTCCATTCCTCCCTCCCTCCCTCCCTCCTTTCCTCCATCTCTCCTTTTCTCCTCTCCTCCTCCTCCTCCCCTCCCTCCTCCTCCCTCCCTCCCTCCCTCCCTCCCTCCCTCCTCCTTCTCTAGCTGTCTAGCTATAAGACCACCCTTCCCCGAGGATTTTTCTCACATATTATTTTCACCGAGATTTATAGTCTCCATTCTGATAATGCTGTGACATATGTTATTCATTTTACTGTTTTCTCTTCTCTTCTCTTCTCTTCTCTTCTCTTCTCTTCTCTTCTCTTCTCTTCTCTTCTCTTCTCTTCTCTTCTTAAATGAACATCACTCTGTGACTGCCCATACGTATATATCTACTCATAGTTTGTCTCAGTATCATCCATCTCTAAGGCCTCTTCTCTTTTAAATCTTTCTGTCCATCTCACTGCCTGACCTCAGCCATCATCACATCATCCTTTACAGTACACACAAAGGCGACAGTTTACGAGTCGGTACAGGCATGGTTGAGTCACACTGTCTTACCTCACACTCACTTTCTGACTGTCAATTCATATACTGTACTATATCATCTGTTTTATGCATCTTGAACAACGACAATGTCTTTACACAGCAATGACGGCCTCCCACGTTTATTCCAAATATTCTCTCATGACAAGCTTGGCTTTCATTCACTCTCCAGCACTGCTCAGTAACTCATAATTGTGTACAACCCTTCTCAGTACATCATAAAGAACCTTCAATTTCTCGGGTGTTTTCCTATTAACTTGTGCTTTCTCGAAACCCCTAGACACAGCATTCACTTTCTTCCCCCTATCTCCACCTTTCTCCACTTAAACACCTTTTGTTTCTCGTCAGTAATGGAGACAGAAAAAGCAAATACAACCATCTTCACATAATCATATTTTTGCCATACACGTCACCAACTATGTCATGAAATCTTTTATTCCTTTGTCTTCTATTCATAGACAAACATTTACCTGTACTAATCTCGTCCCATTATGGTGATAAATGTCCCCCCTTTCCATGCAGCAACGACACTACACTATAATAATAATGGTTGACCCTCGTGTAATGAGGATGGCCGGCCCAAGGGCCACCTAGGTGTGAATTTGTTTAAGGTGTAGAAGCTGTCGCCAACATAACAACCACACCCTGAGTTAACGAACTGCATGACCCAGTGTCAAGGAACAGTCCAAGAAGACCGGACAACTCGCCAACTGCACTGGCCTACCATTACCCCGGAACACGATCCGCAAATCGATTAACATCCAGGTTCCCAATTACTGCTGGGAAGACAGAGGCAAATGGCATTAAGAAACTTGCCCATAGTTTCCCCTCTGCCCAGGGATCGAACCCAGGTCTGCTCGCTAGCAAGGTGAGCATGCTTACCATTACACCACAGGTCGCTGACTGCACTACACACTCCCCATGTACATTCATCTGCTGTTTGACTTCCACTCTGTCATCTTGTTCACAACCCCAAACACTCATTTATATTTTGCTTTCTTAGACTTTTTGTGGTGTGGAAATGATTCAACGGGTCTTAACGCCATGGTGTTGATCTTGCATTTGTTGTTATTGGCTGCCGTATAGTGAAGATATATTTTGTTTCTTTATTGGTAGGTTCGCCGTGGAGTGTGGAGGTGATGGAGGGTAGCGGGGCCCGCGTGGCGGTGCTCGGGGACACCATTAAACACTTCCCTGCTGGACAACTCTCGGCCTTCGACATCTCCGCCGCCAGCGTGTCCAAGGAGGACATCCAGGTCCATATAGTCAGTAAGTGTTACACGGCTCTGTTCACAGATCTTTCACTTGCCAGAAGAAATGTATGGTTAAATGGTGAAGGGGGTATATACTGTACAGTACTCTCAAATGTAAACCTTTTCCTGGGTTTTTTTTTTTTTTTACGGTAATTAGCCCACCCGGGCACAACGATCCACATCGGGGCCTGGGGGGGCCTTATATCCCAGTCCATGTAACAAGGGTCTTGCTGTTTGGTCAGTTCAGTTCAGATATGTTGTTTGAAGTTTGGTTGATGTTATTAGCTATGAAATAACATCTGTTAATACAGTACAATATTAAAATTTTTACTTCTTATGCTAGTTAGGAGTATTTAGATAAGTTCACACTAGGTGTACAGTAATCATAAGTGTAACCAATACAGTAAAAGGTAACCTCTTCACTAGGTCCAGCCAAGCGACCAGTGTCATACCAGTTGACTGAGAGCGGCGAGAATGTGTACCGTGTGGCGTTCGTGACGACGGAGGTGGGGTCATATGTGGTGGACGTGGCGGTGGCCGGCCAGAAGGTACAGGGGTCGCCATTTATTGCCAAGGCGTACGATGCGGGACTCATCAGAGTATCTGATGTGCCCAATGGCGTAGTGGGTCAGCCATGTCAGTTTAGAGGTGAGTCTTCCTCCTCCCTGCTGGACTGTAATGATCATTTTATTATTGGAATACTTTGTGTAATACCCCATGAATATGTAGTTATAATACCCAAAGGGTATATTACAGTATTTATATAACCCTATGAATATATTATAGTAAACTTTGTACATTAGTCATTAGAGAAAAACTTCTTGACACTTCACTTTGTTGGAAGTGGGCAGACATAATTGTTCAAGAACTGGCACTTAGCCAACTGTTGGTGAGTTGTGGTAATAAAGTTTTGTTATGGTGGCCCGCAGTGGACGCTTCGCAGGCAGGCGAGGGTCAACTGGAGATCAGTATCAACGACGGGGAGGTGCCCAACCATGTGCAGGTGCTGGGTGGCGGACGGTGCCTCGTCTCCTTCACCCCAGACACCGCCAAGGTCCACACCATTGACATTAAGGTGGGTCTCTCCTATTTCACTTCTATTTTTCTTGGATACTTTTTATTACAGTATTATTATTCCTCCCTAAATATCCATAAGCTGTCACTGGGGAGTTTCCCTTTATAATTTACATGATAGATATTCCCCTGCATCTTTTTTTTTACCTGAATGATCACTGGCATTAATTCCTGACCATTGTTGTTGTAACAGTTCAATGGAGAGACGGTTCGTGGGTGTCCATTTGTGTGTCGGGTGGCGGACACCTCTCGGGTGAGTCTCACACTTCGTCACCTCGAGCTCATTCCTGTGGGCCAACCAGCAGCATTTAACATCTCTGTAGATGGAGGCGGCTCTGCTGAACTCACCGTCACCGTTAGGAGTAAGCATTTTTAATATATGACGAGAAAGTGAACTTCTGTCAATCTATTTTGTTCTTTAGCTTTTGCTTTTAAAGTCCCAAACAATATCAACTGTTATATCTGAAAATCTGTCATTTAAAAAATTATTTAGGTACAGTATGTTTATCTATCCATTAGAGCAGTAATATTGAGAACAGTGAAATATTGTGATAGTGAGAAATACTAATAGCATTATTCTTTCCTCCCTCAATAGCACCCAGCCACACCACTCTGCCTGTGAGGGTGTCCGGCAGTGTACGGGCGGGCTTTATAGCAGAATTCAAGCCAGTGGAGGTGGGTGCCCACACCATCATCGTCAACTACAATGAATCGGCTGTCTCAGGAACTCCCTTCACATGCAAAGTTTATGATGCCTCCAAGGTGGGCGTGTCACATCTGCCAAGAGGTGCCATTGGCAAGAGCCTTCAGTTTGTGGGTGAGGATACATGCTTTTCATTATAAGAGTCCGGTTCAAGATGATACATAAGTCTATAAACCTGTCATGAGGCAACTCGACTTCTATTAATGTGTTAAATATTATCATAATGATATCATGATTGTCAGTGAATAGATCATATTACTTTATATGAATGCTGATAATCTAATGTATTGGTTACAGTGGACGCATCAGAGGCTGGTGAGGGCAATCTGGAGATCAGCATCAGTGCGGCAGGCAGGAACATCCCCACCCAGGTTCACCCTCAAGGCTCTGCAAGGTATGTCCACTCCTTCACCTCAGTTGTTTGGATGTTTTTTATACGTATATATACAGTATATAAGATTCAGAATTCAAGAAAACTTTGCAACATGATACAGTGATAGATTGAAAAACACCAGTAGGAACCATTTTACCATATCTTGAGGTAAACAGGAGAAAGGGACCTAGAACCTTATTATTGATCACCCTGTTTAAATTAGTGAATGCTTAGTGGTACAGTAGTTGAACATGTGGTACTATTGTTGTAGTGAATATGTAGTGGATATGTGGCACCATGGATAGAAATAAACTCCCGACTCCAACCAGTCTGACTATTTCTGCATCAATCCGATAGAATAACCCGAACAACACACCATTCATTCTGGCTATCACTTTTTGGTAGTTTGTACTGTACACTGAAAAGGCAGAAAAACACATGAACGAGAGTGACCCTGAAAGAAGGTGGTGTGGTAGATTTTCTATTCCTTCCAAGCTGACAACTGATAATTTCCATCTCTAGAAGTACTAATGGGAAAGATAGGAAGACCCAGTAATAGTCCACAAGTGTGTCAAATAAGGGTGTTGGAAGTTTTGTGATTATTCATCTGGTCCTTTGATATCTTGAAAAGTGGTTCTGTACTGTATATAAATCAAATCTTTGTTTAAGCTTATTCTCTTAAATATAAAATAGTGTTTTAACCACCTTGTACTTCATATACAGTACAGTACTTTTATCCTCAGGTTTGCTGTGTCTTTTGTACCACTGGAAGCCATCGACCACTCCATTAATATCTCCTTCAACAAGGAGCCAGTTCAAGGCTCTCCATTTGTGGCTAAGGTAAGTTACCCACAGCTATGTCTGGTTAACAGCACCCCTTTATAGCACTTGTTTTTTCCTGTTCATATTGCTTTATACTTTATCGAAAACTAAATGCGAAAGCAATTTTTTTTTTGGCGGGGAGCTCGCTAGTTTTTGTACTGTACTGTACTCTGTAGTTTTAGATGTACACCTTCTTCCTTAGTCCCACAATCACAATATATTTTTGTGTGTTAATATTATGTGCAGTACTTATTGTTTCAAAGACTAGATAATGTACCACCAAACTAGGAATAGAAGGTATGGAATGAGCAGCATGTTGTAGTTTCTTATGATGAACCTTTACTGTAAGAGCATCTCTTTTCCTAAAATATGTAGGTTCAGGCTGACCCCAACCGAATTGTTGTCAGTGGACAGTCCTTAGCAGCCACAGCAGTAGGAAAGACATCTTTCTTTACCATCTCCAATGTCACTGGCTCTGTGGAAGATGTTGAGGTGTCTGTCGAAGGTGAGTATTTATTTTGATTTTTTTCATAGTACATAGTTCTGCATTCAAGACCTCCTGCAACCAAGGTGCAGCATGGTTCTTCATCAGTGAGTTGCTGCACACCAGTTTACATACTGTGTCCAGCAAAGACAATCTTTTGAACCATCTGGGAGGTAGTGGTTGCATCACCTGTATATTTACATCCGTTCACTGTCTACCATGCCTTGCCTACATTGGAAATTGTATCATGTGTTCACTTCCAAATCACAGTCCTTGACAAAGTTTGTATTCTTGGAAGGTATGTGAATAATCATTCTGCTTTTTCAAAGAAACAACATACAGTATATCCCTCTTGCAATGATCATGTAACCTATTTCTAAACTGGCACTTCTCACCATTGGTAGTTGTTACCACTCATACTTTTCAACAAAGAGCCTTAAGTCTTTGCCACTTATAAATCTTGCCATGTGCACTCTATGCTATTTGCATTCCTAATATTCAATTTTTGTCACATTCACTCCGTTGCCAACTTCAGTTCTTATTGCTTATATCTATTACCACTCCTTGTCACTTGTATGTTTTGCCATGTGCATTCCTTATCACACAGCTATTTAACACCTACACTCCTCATTGCTAACAATTCTCACTGCTTGCACACCCATCATTTAGGGTATGTATTCACAATTTATATTCCTTGCCTTGCTTTTGTCTTTGCAATCCCTGTCATTTCAATACAGTATTTACATTGTGTATTGTCTCTTCCTTTGCATTTACTGTACTAATAACATCAGTATCCTCATGCACTTCACATTGTTCCATTGTTTATTGCCTAGCCTCTTGTGCACTCCCTTGCTTGCCATGAGAAGCTGTGTGTGCATTCTAAGGCTAGTGTGTGGAGAGTTGGCAGTAGGCATACATATCAGACTGATGTCTTGTCTGTCTTGTCTCACTTAACTTGGCCATGGTATGTATAACCTTGAATACTTTGGAGAATAAAATAAACATATACAGTGTGTCAAATACAGTAACTGCTGTACTGTAAATACAGTTACCACTTAATCAAATAAGACTAAAGTGATTCTAGAGTGAGGGCGAAGGCTGTAACCTTGCTTCTTATCCTTTTGTAGTTTAATAAGAATATTTTAAATAAAGTTGTTAATTACATTTGTAAAGATTGCATTCTTTTGCTCTACCATTGCCTTAATTGTTTTGTTTGTTTTTTTTGGTCAGAAGGAAATGACTGACACACATGCTGCCACCACTCATTCTATATGCCTTTTTTTCTTCTTCAAAAGTAAATGTTTTAGTTTTAAAACATTATTGAATGTATGGTAAGAAATCCATGGAATGTGTGGATGTATTGTGGATGGGATGACAGGCAGTACCTAGCAATTTCCATCATGTCATATACAGTACAGTACTGTATGCCTCTTCTCTACATTCTTCATGGTTGTTCACACATATATATTAAGTTTTCAGTATAATAGCACCCAAATCATGTAAAGGTCAATAACATTTTATATTACCTAATACTATATTAATGGTGTGTAAACACAATTTGGCTGGATGTGTGTTTACTCTAATATCATAAAAAGATCAGACGTGTCTTTGTTTGGTCAAATTATCTCTTACCTGAGTTGCAGGCTCTTTCATTCTATCCAGCAGTTTTCTAAATTATATTCATTTGATTATGGTTCACTTATCGTATATTTACACATAAGAACCTGCTAACCTATCTGAATATTGGGACTAAAATAATAATGAGAAAATACCTCTTCATTTTTTCTGTACATTGACATGTGACATGAAAACGGAAATAATAGAAATGAATCTCTTAAGTATCGGTCAGTGACCAGCTAAGTTGGAAATAATAAATGCCATAGTATTTGTTTTTTTATACAGTACTATTTTTTGGCTTCTAAATAATTATATTTTCATGCAAATTCAAATTTTGACTTATGACAATAATCTACAGTATACAATATGTGTTGAATTCTCAGACCAACTTGGCTCAGTCTTTGTATGACTAATTTACAACAAAATATATTTACTTCTTGAGTGATGAATCTTTAATAATATACAATTTTATCTTCTCAAGCGTCCTTTATCAATATTCTTTTACAAGTATTTGATTTGCATGTGATGTTAAATATAAAAAACTTACTTCAACTAATGCTGTCTGTTATCATTTGTAAAATTTTTATGTATACTGTATATATACATATCTAATATAACTTTTCCCAATCATTCAGGAAGTTCTTCGTTTCCATTTTTTACACTCTGAAAACAAATAATTTCTATGTCCATTTTTCTCTTATTTCCGTTTCATTTTCTAATTTGTTTCCTCACACATGTATTTCCTTTTCAGGACGATCCAGAAAACACCAGCGCGCTTACTAATAGTACTAACCCGTATTTCTACCACTTAGCTTAGCCTGGGCATGGGGTGTGGCGACACACACAGGCACAGATGAGCCTTCCTCCACCACCACCAACGAGGAAGTCCTCTCACTTGTCGTACTATTGCATGCTTTTTTGCACCTGCTACACTAAACACTCCCGGTGAGCATGATTTAAAAATGCTGTTCATAACACTACACCTTAGTGATGTTGGTGCTGGTGCGTGCTGGGTGAGGTTTGCCAAGCATATTGAAAGTGTGGAATGTGTTCTTGATGAACGGCACTCTGGTGTTGGTATGTGACTGATGACGAGCCACCATGACTTACATCATCCTCCATTGACTCTCTCTTTCAGACGGGGGACGAAGCAGAGAGACATCGCATTTTGAAATATATCATCAGACTTGTCTTTTTTTTTTTATTGTTATTTCCTGATTGACATAAGTTTTTCTGACTAAACCTTATTTGCCTTAAGATAAACATCAAAATGACCATTGACTTTGTATGTACCTGAGATGACCAACAGAATTGACCTGACCTGTGGCATCCATTATCTTCGTCCTCCTAACCTAACAATAACTGGCCCCTCCTACGGCGACTCTCTCCAGCAGTCCTTGCCGCTGCCCCTATCCTCCACAAAGTGTTCCACTGCCACTCCAGCTTACCATCCTTTGCTGGAAGAATAACTTAAGATTGCTAGCTATTTTAATTACATCCCAACCATCTCCCATTCCTGCTTCATCCATAATCCTATAATAACCAAAATAAGAGTTTACTTCAGGCTTTCATTTAGCCTGACAAGATGCCTCTTTACCAATGATCCTGATCTGCCATCACCCATACCTACATCCTTACCTGCTCCTGTGTCCATCTCCCGACTGAACCTTTCTTGACCCTTCCTGCCCACCACCTACCCTGGCGTAGCATAGGGCCACACTAACTAGGCCGCGTCTGTATAGGCCCCAATGGACTTCCGGTGGCGGCGCAAGTCCGTGACAACGGGGACCACACCTTCAGAGTGGAATTTGCCCCTCGAAGTGCTGGTGAGCACAGGATCCATGTGGCATACAGCGGTGAGGCCATCCCGGACTCCCCCTTCAGCTGTAAGGTGTATGACGTATCAGCCATCAAGGTGCGGCCTGTAGACCGTGGCATGGTTGCCAAACCTGTCACCTTTCTCGGTGAGTTGTTGCTTCTCAAACTTAATACTGTACACACCTTCCATACTGTATATGTCCTTAAATTACTACATGTTTAAATGAGCTTGCTGAAATTTGATACAAATTACATTAAATATAAGCACACATTATTTTTTCAAATGTGTAATCTGACAAATATTGGTTAAAACTCAGAAACCTAACAGGTGATTTATAAATTGCAAATAAATTGTAATAGAAAAATATAATTCTTTGCACATAGGAGATAATGATGATAATATGCACATTTTGTTAAATTACTGCTTGTCCCACAGTGGAAACAAACAATGCAGGTCCCGGGAATCTGGAAGTGACTGTCAACAATGGTCAGGTGCCCACCAGCGCCCAGGCACAGGGAAACCATGTGTATGCCATTTCCTTCACACCTAAAGAAGCCAAGCCTCATGTGGTGGAGCTAAAGTTCAATGGTGAGAATGTGCCTGGGTCGCCATTCTCATGTGAGGTTGTGGATGTGTCACGGGTGACAGTGGCCGGGGCAGGTCTGGAGAAGGTGCCAGTAGACCAACCTGCGACCTTCACTGTTGACTCTCAGGTCAGTGTGCCACACATAGGGTGTGCTTGGTGTTGGGGGAATGTAATACAAACAGGAAATATTACTCGAGGAGCAATACACCAGTATTTTATTTTGCAATATTTTCATGTATTAAAATAGGTGCCTAAGTTTTGCTTCCCTAAAAACTACCTGTTCTAAAAATTAAAGCACTTTTCAAATAAAAGTGTAATAGGAGTTTATATTTCAACATTTTCTTTTGAACAAATAATGTAACTACAGCATTCACTGATGTATCATAGAAGGGGATATATATAATTCCTAAAATAACATAGAATACAAAACCATTACAAGTGGAACTTAACAAATACACTGTACACCTGAAATGTTAAAATAGGTTAGTCTGTAGCTTTCCATGTTTTGTTTTATGTTGTCGGACAGGCAAGTGTGGATCAGCTTGAGGTAAAGGTGTTGTCACCCTCTCGTCTCAGCCTAGAACCACACGTCTCCACCAACGATGAGGGAAAACTACTGGTCGAGTACACCCCCACAGAAGTAGGTCAGTCATTGTGCCTCTCTCACTCCCATCACGTCTTCCATGTGAGCCTTGTGCTGACAGATTCTCATTGCTGAATATTTTTTTTAAACTGTACTGTGTTCAAAGTACTGTTTGTGCTGAAGCAATATTTATCTTTATCAAATCATCGTCTGAAATCCCACAGGGTAATAGATTAACAATGGAAGTTTAACTTTTTACTTATTTACTATTGTGGATGATACTCCTTTTCATTTACTGATATTTATACATGTAAATACAGCATTAAGCTGTTATCACATATTCTGTACTGTAGATATGTAGAATAATATGATAAGGCAGCATTCACCATTTTTTATGCCAATGTGGTTGTTGTAGGTGATCACAGTGTGGAAGTGCGGGTGGCAGGGATGCTGGTGCCGGGGTCACCCTTCCTGGTCAAAGCTTACGACGCCACCAAAGTCAGGGTCACAGAGGTTGCTACTGGCATCGTTGCCAAGCCTGTTTACTTCTCTAGTGAGTCCTCCACACCACCACCTTTGTCTTATTTTATCAGACTACTACTGGTATAGCTTTTAAACTTTGTAATATATTTAAAATTATTTTTTTGCATCTGCTTTTAAATGTTTTGATGATGTCATTCAAATAGGTATTCCAATCTTCAGTAACTTTTTTTATGTTATTTACACATCTATCTTTTCCTTTTCCATGCTTATTGCTGTACCACAGTCGACGCATCACAGGCAGGTGCTGGCAATCTGGAGATCATTGTGTCGGTGAATGGCCGCAATGTGCCCAACTATGTGCAGTCGGAAGGTCATGCCAGGTTCCGAGTCAACTTCAAGCCCAAGGAAGCTGCCGTCCACACACTCTCAGTCAAATTTAATGGCTTACCTGTACCTGGTGAGTGACTTTACAAATACTGTGGCTGGGAAATGGTAGTACTCTACATGGTGAGACTTCCTAATTATTGAGTGACTACTTTTATTACTGGTACAGCATTTGTATTTAATAAATGATTGTTTAGGCTGTTGCTATCTGGTGAGTGATCTTGTCTGTTAAGTTATCTGAGTCTGCTGCCTATGTTACCAGTTTCCACAATGTCACCTTAATTGGATAACAAAGCCAGGGTAAACAAGGATTTGGATAACAAAGAAATCCTGCTTAAATGATGACAGATAAACAAATTCAGGATAAACAAAGACTGAGAAACTGGATAAAAGAAAATGAGGATAAATGGGAGTTTGATAGAATAAATTTAGTATACTGTACACGTACAGTATACAGAATTTTATAAAAGAAACATTAGGATAAATGGGGACTTGAATAAAGGAAATCCTGGATAAAAGAAAGGATAATTAAACATTTGGATGATGCAAATTTTGTATACAGTGAACCCTCACTTTACGCGGTTAATTGAACCCACGACGGCCCGCGTAAAGTGAACAACATAACATATGGGATTAATTGAAATAGAGACCGGGCCGACCCCCAAACTCCACTTTTTCCCGACACAATACGTACGTTTTACTGAAAATAACATCTTAACTTTATGATGGTATTCACCCACACATAATATAGAAGGGAACAATCAATAAGAGAATAATAAACTGAAGGTTAGGTTAGAAAAAAACAAGGTTGGGGTTAACACTTACGTTAGTAGAAGAGATGGGTCGGCGAAGGGGAATGGAGGCTGGTTCCGAGGCAGAGGGCAGGCTACTGGCCCTCAGGTGAGTCTTCATCGGTGTCATCCACACTTACTAGGCCTCCCTGACAAATCCCTCAAAGTCATCATCACTGTCTCTGCCTCTGTCACTATCACTGGCTTGGGCTGGCTGTGGTGGGTTGCGGGCGAAGAACTCTGTTATGCTTTGCTGACGGCTGGTGTTTATGTTGTCGTGATAAACCTTGATGTAGGGCTCCATAGTCTGCAACAGCTGGGTAGTGAAGATTTCATACCTGTTTGCGTCAGGGTCGTCGGAAAGGAGGAGCTTGACTTTCTCAATACACTCGATGGCACCCCTTACATTACTATGGGATAAGCGGCGTTCTTCTTGGGATGACTCACCACCTGCCTCTTCACTGACGTCATCATCATCTACCATCTCGTCGGTAGTCACATCAGGATCCCTTATCACCTCCAGGATGTCGTCGTTGGTGGTCTCGGAGAAGCCTGCAGCTGTAACACTCTGAGCAGCTTCTCTGGCAAGGTCCACTGCTACTGCAACAGTGAACCTCACCAGTCACAGATTTACTCTGCCTAACACCCGGAATGCCTTGCAACACATGTCTCCATGCATGACGAACAGTTGCTACAGACAGCTGATCCCATGCCTCCACCAAGAAGTCCACAGCTTTCTTGACGTTGAATGTTCTCCAGAATTGTTTCAAAAGTACTTCTTGCTCTGCCAACTGTTGATCCTCATCGTCTTCGCTCTTGCTATCGGTGTTGGTGTCACTCAGGTTACGCAACTCTTCCTTGGTGTTGGTGTAGTCGTTCAGGAGGTTGAATTTTTTAGCAGAGAATGCAGCTTTTACATTACAGATCAATTCTTGGTCCATGGGTTGTATTATAGGCCGAGTGTTGGGAGGAAGGAAGACCACTTTTACGTTGGGGTGACGATCTAACAGTAGGGGCGAGTGTCCTGGTGCGTTGTCAAGCAGCAACAAAATCTTGATTGGCACATTCTGTTGCTCACAGAATTTCTTCACATCGGGAACGAAACAGTCATCAAACCAGGAGAGGGACAGTGTAGAGAACATCCACGCCTTACGTGCGGTCAGCCAGTGGACATTTAGCTTGGTGATGTCCCTGCTCTTGTAGGCGTGCGGCTTGCGTGCTGTGTTGGTCACCGATAACTTGAGCTTACAGATACCGGAGGCATTGGTGGTAAACAGGACGGTGATGCGCTCCTTCTGCAACTTCCGGCCCCGACACTTGCTGGCATTCTTCACAACGAAGGTCTTGGAAGGTAGTTTTTTCCAAAAAAGACCAGATTCGTCCATGTTAAACACCTGGTCGTCACTGTACTGTCCTTCTTCCATAATCTCGCGTAAAAACGGAGGAAATTCCCTAGCCGCAACACGGTCAGCACTAGCTTCTTCACCACCAATGTTGATATTAGTGATTTTGTTCCTCTTAAACCTCTGTAACCACCCAGAGGAAGCATTAAAGGGTTTGGGCTCTGTAATTCCCATCTTTCGTGACACTGCAGCATACAGTTCACGTGCATACTCCTTAACTGAGCGCGTGTCCACCGCCATGTTCCGTCGCGCCTGACGCACCAAGTAGCTCACAAGTAATTTTTCCGTCTTGAGAAGCACCTGGTTGTGGAAGTACTTGATCATAGAAGCACCTGTAGACTTTGTGATGTTCATGTGCTCCTTTATCTTGGCTGCATCCTTCTTAATTGTCCTGATAGTTGATTTGTTAACACCATGCTGGCGTGCGAGATCAACCTGTCTTGTTCCTTTCTCCAACTCTTGTATGATCTTATATTTTATTTCGTAGCTTAAAGAAAGTCGTGTCTTCTTTGGCTTAGGGCGGCTGGGTCCAGGTAATGCAAGGTTTCTTTGTGGTGGTGGTGGTGGTCCGGTGGAAGCCATTCTTATGGAACAATGGATACCGATACACACGGTGTAGCCGGGAGGGGTGTAACTGACGCGGTAGGTCAAGGGGCTTGAACGTTCCCGCGGCGGGGCACATCATAGTACTACATTAAACCAATCACAGCTAGCAGGGAGGGAAGTAAGGATGCTTTGCCCAATAACAGTCCGCTACATCATATGACGTCACCGATAATGCAACAAAGACATACACTGCGCAACCCACTTGCGCCGCTTACACAACATGGCGGGAGAGATGGCGGGAGGTTTGGATCCAAAAATGGCACGGCGCGAGAGGACCGCCAGCCGCTCTCCACGTAAAGGGGTACACGCACCGCGGAAAGTGAGCATTCCGTGTTCGGCAGGGTACCGCGTAAACGTGGAAACGTGTAAAGTGGGACCGCGTAAAGCGAGGGTTGACTGTATACTACAATAATAAACACAGGATAAATGAGAACTTGAATAATTGAGTACTTAAAGATTACAGTATTGGATAAAAGAAAGCCAGTATAAATAGGAACTTGGATTAAGGAATTATATAAAGACAAGGTTTTAGTTAAAGAAAATCAGGATAAGTACAGCATCTACTTAGATAATGAAAACCCAGGATAACTGAGTCGGTATAAATTAGGATTGGGATAAAATACAATCAGGATAAAGATTGATACTTAGTTAATGTTTAACTGGATATAAATAACGTTAAGGTCGGTATACTTGGTTAATATATAGCATGATGAAGATGACATCATGGCTAGTGGGAAATAGTCGTAAAGCGTTGATGTTGATGTGTCAATACCGTAGAAGGTAGGGGAAACACTCACTGGTGATGGTGGAGGTGCCTAAAGTAAGCTCATACATAACAGGTGTGTAGGAAGTTCTGGGTAAAGCTTCGAGAAGAATACTCTATTACTGTTTATTATATTTTGGGGGAGGATGTTACCACAGTAGGCTCTGGATAATACATCATATTTATTTATACTATAGTCTGTTAATGGATATTGATATAAGAAATACTATTATTACTAAATGACTTATCCTTTTAAGTTTACACACAACTTATTACACTGTTGGCCAGGGCCAAGTATTTACAGAAGAGGACATTCTATCCCTTTTGTAAACATGGTTGAGATATACATTGAGTTTATCTTATGATTGTGGCCACAACTGTGGTGGTTATGGCTACCACAGGTGGCCCATTGTGCCTGCCTCACCACACTAACCACTATCTTGATTTAGTCTCACACAAATATGAATTTACACAATTACACTTCAGTTGGTCACAAAGTCTGGTGCTGTGTTGAGCAGGAGTGGTCATTCAGCAATAGTTTTATATATTTTTTTTAATTTAGAAATCTTTGTAGAAGTTAACCTTTTGGTTCCCGGAGGTTTTCCTAAGTGTAATAAAGTCATCTGGCAGTAGCCAGAGTAAAAGTCTAAAGTGTGACAGTCAATAGGAAAGGGTTAATAGAATAGTCACAGGCCTTGTCAATATAGGATGAAAGATGTCCCTGAAGTTTCAGTACAGTAATAGTTGTTGTACCAAGCCTCTGAGTCATAAGGTACAACTCACAATTTTGGCTCTGTGTCAGTAATATTTAAACAATAAAGACAAAATAGTATACGGCTAAAAATTATTGGACTATTTATGGGTGTCACTGAAAGATATATATCAGAACTAAAGCATTGTGTATGTATGTTGTAAAGTCTGATAATGAACAGTAAAGATAAAATTGACTACAAATATTAAAGAAAAGTACTGTACACCACACCATCAACAGCCATGTCCAAGAAAATGATCCGCAGGAAGTCTCTGGGTGACCAACCTGAGACCCTCAGTATTTGTAAGTCACCTCACCAGTGTCCTAGGCTTACCACACACCTCACAGCTGCCTTCGCCCCTCCCCTCCCCCCCCCCAATCACTCATTACCTGCTACACTCATCACAACCCTCTCTCCCTTGGTAATTATACATTACTGTATTTACCACACGCGCACATTTCAACAACCCCCCCCCCACCAAAAAAAAAGGGGGGGGTGGGAGAGGGTGGAACTATACAGCACCTCTACTTCCCTTCTTAAAACACTTTCCACACACAGTCCACATAAAAAGAAATTACTACCACTATGAGTACCATTAAAGGTTTGATAAGATAAACAGGCAACACACCTAATCAGTTTGTAACATAAACAATGGCTTTATTGAAATTATCTAATACTGAGGCTATTATTTAATATATATATATTTTTATTGTTCTCGAGACAAGAGTTTATTGACAGTATACAAACCTGCCTCCTCACTTTGTAGTAGAAGTCCAAAAATCCAGACTGCTTGGGGATTGGGTTGGTCCGGATTTTCGGATTTTCCAGATTCTCAGGCAGTACTTTTAAAATTCAAATTTAAGGAGGAATAAAGAAGAGATGAACAGGTACATTTTGATAGTTTATTCATTAGCAAATATAGCATGCTTCATTTATCAAAACGAGCAGTTTTAAGGAAAAAGCTGTGAATTCTAGAATTTTATTCTTTGCCTCTTTTATATCATAAATTGTAGACTTTCCAATGTCGTATGTTTCCATTAGAACAGTATTGCTCACACCCTGTTCTAGTTTCTTAATTATTTCAAGTTTGTCACTCAATTTCAACGTGTTCTTCTTTCTCTTCACACAACGAAGTTTATCTACTTTAGGAGCCATTATTATGGGCTTGTACAGTACAGTATACTCTGTAAATGAAAAGAGTAGGACTCAAAATTACATACGTTTTCACAGTTTGATCGCTCGTTTTAAAGTGGCGACCGCGTGGTCGCTTGTTGTTGCTGTGCAGCTGTGGCACTCACGCATGCGCACAGTACACACAAAAGCCCGCTAAAAAAAATAATAATAATAATCATTAAAGTCTGGATTCTCGGGTGGTCCGGATTTCTGGCATCCGGATTTTTGGACTTTTACTTTAATAAGAACATTTATTCTGCTCTCCCTTGCTCTTAATAGTAGTATATACTGTACTGTATTTTACCCACTCAAGTTCATGGTTCCTAATCCTGTATGAAGTACTATTTGGTCAGTCTTACAGAAACTGATATAGAGAATTCTGTTCACCCAAGTCATTGTATGGATATCCTGATACATTTAGGTAAATTCTAACCATCTAAATGAATTTTGGTTAACATGTTATTGTCATAATACAGAGATTAGTGTGGACCTTATGACATAAAACATTTAAAGGTCTGACCCTCCTCAGTAATTGTGTTATTAACCCAATCCATCAATACAATGGTATAGAGAATCTAATACAGTATCCTCGTCCTGATGTACCTTCAGGGTCGCCCTTCAAGTGTCGTGTGAGTGACAGCAGTCAGGTGGTGATCTCTGGCGCAGGACTGAAAATGTCTTCTCTTGCGCGACCCGCAGTCATTACTGTCGACCCCCGCAGTGCAGATGTTACCGACTGTGTTGTCCAGGTCAGTCCACACCCAACACACATCTCTGCATGGTTTGCACACAATGTATTTATTGGTATATGATAAAACTTATTTCTAATTATATTTAGAAATTTGTATCCCCATGATGTGCCCCCCTAGGTGACCTCACCGTCAGGAGCCCACGTGCCAATCAAGTTGTCAGGTGAGCTGCCAAACAAGGTAACAGCAGAGTTCCAACCCCTAGAGGTGGGCCCCCATACAATCAACGTCATCATGGATGGTGAGAGTGTCGGTGGCTCACCTTTCACCTGCAACATTTATGATGTCACCAAGGTGCAGGTGACTGGCCTTGATCACACTAAGGTGAGTCACCACCCATAAAATCACTCAGGTGGTGTTGAATGAGGATAGTTTTAAATCATTTTACATTGAAAGATCACTAGTTCTTCGGATGTGTGTGAGTTTCTGTGCTGGCATTAGTAGCAGATGTCAGAATACATGCCATCATTATAATGAAAATTTTAATCCTGGTATATTTCTTTCCCAAATTAAATTCTTTCCTCAGAATTCCAAATGAACACTCCATCCTTTGCTACTCTTGTTTCTGTTATGAATTTTTCCAGTACAGTACACTTCTCCCCATTTACCAGCTGCAGCTGTCCTCTTCCTCCACTCACCAGTTACACCTGTCCACCTCCTCCAATGCCCATCAGTTACACCTGTCCACCTCCTTCAGTTACCAGTTGCATTTTCCTTCTTTAACTAAATATTGTACTTTTGTCTTCCTTTGTAATATCGAGTGCTTATTATGCTGCCTAAATCACGTTTTCGTGTTCTAGTCTTGTCTTTACCTCCCCTGCACAAGGGATTACAACATTGTTTCCTACACTTCAGGTGAATCGACCCGTGACGTTTACGGTGGATGCATCACAGGCTGGAGAGGGGACATTGGAGCTCGTTGTGACCACTGCTAAGGCATCTGTCAGGGCAGAAGTTGCTGCTCGATCTCGTGGGCTCTACGACGTCACTTTCACGCCTCATGAACCCATCCCACACTTCGTCAACATCACCTTCAACGAAGAGGATGTACTTGGTGAGTTAAATGTCATTTTACTCAGATAGACTTTATGATTCCACTGGTCGTAAATCAAATCCCTTAATTCACATCAGACATGTATCTTGCCTTCATGCTCATAATGCACCTTTGTTTTCCTTTCAGGGTCACCGTTCAAGTGTGATGTCCGGGAGTTGGAGCCTCGTGAGGTACGTCACCTGCAGCGTAAGGAGAGTCAGATGGTAACAGCAAAGGGAGACGGCCTTAAGCAGGTGAGTCATAGAATATGATATATTGGTTGTTGACTCAATATTACCAGACATTGACATTCATGATGCAGAGTAACATATCTTAGAGTGATGCCCTTTTACTTTGCTGCAGGTGGTGACTGGCAGTACAGCATCTTTCACAGTTGACACCAAGGGCCTTGATGGTGAGCTTGACATTCGTGTCACTGGGCCTGATGGTGGACAGGTCCCAGCCAGGCTAGTCAAACTACGCAGTGGATTACATCGTGCTGAATATCGGGCCGAGCAGGTAAGTGACTTGATCAGATGGAGACATAACCACATGGAGAATATAGGAGAATATAGGGACACATCCATTGGAAGAGACAGGGGGGGAAGGTGCCTATATCCATTGCCAGAGAAATGTGAAAAAGTCATACCCAGAAACAGGGAACACATCTAGTTAGAGAGAGGAAAGGATAAAAGAAACAACTGGAGAGGATTATAAAGGTTCAACCAGGAGAGGAATATAAATGAAGTACAGGCATTACTTTGAGAGAGTCTGTTTGTATACACAGACAACTTTGATGTGCAATAGATAAATAATTAAAACATTTCTTTATATACAAAAGAAAAAGATTCATAAGAAATGTCCCACTCAGTATTATAGTACTGTAGCTGGAATAACAAACTTTGGTGATAATCCCCATTGGTTATTAAACCAGGTTTTTGTCAATGTATGAACAGGTTGGATCATACAGTGTGGCAGTGCTACACCAGGGAGCTCCCATCAGTGGCACACCCTACACTGTGGAGGCCGCTGATCCTCGCAAGGTCAACCTTCAGCCTTCAGGAGATTGCTTTTCCTCCCAAGAGTGTGCTCTCAAGGTGGATGCTTCAGGTCAGTCATAGAGTTTGGGTTCTTCTTGCACAGTTGTGAGAGGGAGAATTTGTTTTTTGTCTTTTATTGTACTTCTTGCTCAGAAGATAACGTCCTTGTTGAATGAAGAATAAAACCTTATTGGATTGCTAATTTCTTCTTTCTTAGATAACCTTAAATATTGTTCAGATATTTTAATTAAAATTATGTACTAATGTATAAACTCGAGATATTATTTAAGATCAGATACTGCAGTGCTAATAGGAGGTATTATACAGGTGCTGGGCGTGGGACATTGTCAGTGGGTGTACGAGCGGCAGGTCAGGATGTGAAGCACTCCATCAGGGACCTAGGTGGTGGACTTTACAAGGTGCTTTTCTACCCGAGGGCTCCCATACCTCATAAGGTGGATATCCGTTACAATGGAGTTCCTGTGCAAGGTATGTTATAAACAGTTACTCTTTCATTTGTTATTCTTTTTGCTTCTCTATTACTAGCTAGTGCATCTTGTTACAATGAAGTGCTAGCCAGAAACTTTAATGATAAGAAAATAATTATACTTTACTTACTTTTACTTTACTCTTATTATACTATAATATAATACAATAATGACAATACATAATACAGTAATAATAATACATGTAATAATAATAATAATAATAATAACAACACATTGCTATGGTACTTCCCATTCACAATAAGGCCCCATATCTAATTTACCAATCTTTCTTTATCAGGTGGGCCATTTGAAGTATCTGTACTTAACCCTGCCACTGGCCATGCAGTGACAGCCACTGGCATTGGCTTACATCAATCACGAGTTAATAAACCCACATCCTTTGTCATTGAGACCTTGGGTCAGCCTTCAAAGGAGTTTGATGTGTTGATTACTGGTCCTCAAGACTGGGCTGTTCCGGTTAAATGTTACCAACAGAAGGATGGAAATTTGCTGGCGGAATACACTCCACATATCCCTGGAACCTACAAAATAGAAGTACTATGCTCAACAAAACATGTCAAAGGCTCGCCATTCCAGTGCACAGCTTACGATGCCTCAAAGGTTGTATTGGATCACAGCAAATTAGTAACCGCTGTTGGTGAACCTTGTTTGTTCAAATGTAAGTACATAGCGCAACTTGTTATTGATTGTCCATTATACTTTAATAAAAAGAAAAGGTGGAGACAACATAATATTTTTCATACCTCCAAAGACTATATGTTTTCTGCGTCTTTCTTTTTAGTGGACAAGTCTGAGGCAGGCATTGCAGACCTGGAAGTGCAAATTGTAACACCCTCAGGAATGTTGACCCCATTAGAGGTGAAGAGTGGGCCAGCAGGGGAAGCTGTGGAGTGGATCCCTGATGCCCCAGGACAGTACAGAGTCACTTTCCTCTATGGGGGTGAAGAGGTGATTACAAACCAACTAAATTCTAGCAAATCTTACACATCACTGCAATATTATGACTGTTTATGTGTGACACTATGTACAAAATTCACAAATTGGCATGTATTTTGATATGCAGGTACCAGGGTCGCCACTGACTGTAGAGGTTGGTGAGTCGGGTCTGGCAAGTGTTAAGGGGTCAGGCCTGGAAGGTGGAGCTGTGGACACTCCGCTTACCTTCACTATAGACGGTCGTGGCCTCCTAGGGGAGCCACATGTCACTGTTGATGGCCCAGACAGTGTCGCTCGTGTCAATGTTCGCAAACAAGATGAAGGCCTTTACCAGGTGAGTTGATTTTATGTGTACAATATATGATAAACCCCATTAGCTGGAATAATTGGTGCAGAGTGCTTCTGGGTATTGCTACGAATTTCTCATCCCCGGAAAAATCTCACAAATCCAAAATATTTCTGGGTGTTGTCTTGGGGTAAATTTTCTGAGACCAAACTACACATTTCTCATGGACAGACACAGAGCTGTATACAATGTATTGTAAATAAACAAATTATACTACTGTGTACAGTACAGTATGTAACTGTAATCACTTTTTGCATCTTAACAATGTATTCTTGGCTGATTGTGTCCTGGTACAGTTCTGCACAACACAAATACAGTAGTATGCAAAAACAGCCTACCCCTCATGCTGGAGGGGATGCATCAGAGCACGATGCAATCTTGGAACTCCCAGAAATTTTTTTCTCGTGCCCGGAATGGAGATGCTTTGGAGAGATTTTCTTGAAATTTTCTTAAGAGTTTTTCCAGAGAATGTGCATGATTTCAGCCTCGGAAATCTTTCCCAGGCTCAGGAAGGAGAGATTTGGAGGGATATTCTAATAATTTTTCTGGAAAGTGTGCCTGATTTTCATTCTCAGACACTCGTTCCCATGCCCGGAATGGATAGAGTTTTCCCAAAAATTTCTGGCTCCATTTCAATTCCAACTTTTGAACAGTTCCAGGATTCTAGCTAACTGGGAGATTACTGTATAATTTAAAAGAGAAATTAAACATGAGGCAAGTTCTCTACAGGGGGGTCCCTGGGTTATGAACGGGTTCCGTTCCCGAGGACGTTCTTAAGTCGAATTTGTACTCAAGTCGGAACACATGCTATGTACATACTGTACTTACAAAACAGTGTTTAAAATCCCACTATATCATAGCCTAAGTCCTTATATACAGTCAACCCTCACTTTACGCGGTTAATATAACCCACAGGGTACCGCGGAAAGTGATTTACGCGTAAAGTGAACAACATAACATATGGGATTAATTGAAATAGAGACCGGGCCGACCCCCAAACTCCACTTTTTGACGACACACAACTATGTTGTAGTAAAAATTTTATCTTAACTTTATGATGGTATGCACACACAAGTAATATAGAAGAGGTTAGCTTAGGAAAAATAAAGGTTAAGTTAGGAAAAATAAAGGTTAGGTTAGGAAAACTAAAAGTTAGGTTGAACACTTACGTTAGTAGAAGAAATGGGTCGGCGTACGGGGATGGAGGCTGGCCCTCAGGTGAGTCACCATCACTCTCATCCACACTTGTCAGGGCCTCCCTGACAAATCCCTCAAAGTCATCTTCACTGTCTCTACCTCTGTCACTATCACTGGCTTGGGCTGGCTGTGGTGGGTTGCGGGCGAAGAACTCTGTTATGCTTTGCTGACGGCTGGTGTTTATGTTATCGTGATAAACCTTGAAGTAGGGCTCCATAGTCTGCAACAGCTGGGTAGTGACGATTTCATACCTGTTTGTGTCATGGTCGTCGGAAAAGAGGAGCTTAATTTTCTCGACACACTCGATGGCACCCCTAACATTACTGTGGGATAAGCGGTGTTCTTCTTGGGATGACTCACCACCTGCCTCTTCACTGACGTCATCATCATCTACCATCTCGTCGGTAGTCACATCAGGATCCCTTATTACCTCCAGGATGTCGTCGTTGGTGGTCTCGGAGAAGCCTGCAGCTGTAACACTCTGCGCAGCTTCTCTGGCAAGGTCCACTGCTACTGTAACAGTCTGAACCTCACCAGTCACAGATTTTGACTGCCTTACGCCCGGAATGCCTTGCAACACATGTCTCCATGCGTGACGAACAGTTGCTACAGACAGCTGATCCCATGCCTCCACCAAGAAGTCAACAGCTTTCTTGATGTTAAATATTCTCCAGAATTGTTTGAAAAGTATTTTTTGCTCTGCCAACTGTTGATCCTCGTCTTTTTCGCTCTTGCTATCGGTGGTGGTGTCACTCAGGTTACGCAACTCTTCCCTGGTGTTGGTGTAGTCGTTCAGGAGCTGGAATTTTTTTGTTGAGAATGCAGCTTTTACATTGCAGATTAACTCTTGGTCCATGTGCTGTAATAAAGACGTAGTGTTGGGAGGAAGGAAGACCACTTTTACGTTGGGGTGACGATCTAACAGTAGGGGCGAGTGTCCTGGTGCGTTGTCCAGCAGCAACAAAATCTTGAATGGCACATTCTGTTGCTCACAGAATTTCTTTACATCAGGAACGAAACAGTCATCAAACCAGGAGAGGGACAGTGTAGAGAACATCCACGCCTTATGTGCGGTCAGCCAGTGGACATTTAGCTTGGTCATGTCCATGCTCTTGTAGTCGTGCGGCTTGTGGGCTGTGTGGATCACCGATAACTTGAGCTTACAGGTACTGGAGGCATTGGTGGTAAACAGGACGGTGATGCGCTCCTTCTGCATCTTCCGGCCCCGAATCTTGCTGGCATTCTTCACAACGAAGGTCTTGGAAGGTAGATTTTTCCAGAAAAGACCAGATTCGTCCATGTTAAACACCTGGTCGTCGGTGTACTGTCCTTCCTCCATAATCTCACGTAAAAACGGAGGAAATTTCCTAGCCGCAGCACGGTCAGCACTGGCTTCTTCACCACCAATGCTTATATTGGTGATCTTGTTCCGCATCTTAAACCTCTGTAACCACCCAGAGGAAGCATTAAAGGGTTTGGGCTCTGTAATTCCCATCTTTCATGACACTGCAGCATACAGTTCACGTGCGTACTCCTTAATAGAGCGCGTGTCGACCGCCGTGTTCCGTCGCGCCTGACGCACCAGGTAGCTCACAAGTAATTTTTCTGTCTTGAGAAGCACCTGGTTGTGAAAATACTTGATCATAGAAGCACCTGTAGACTTTGTGATCTTCATGTGCTCCTTTATCTTGGCTGCATCCTTCTTTATCGTCCGGATCTTAGATTCGTTCACACCATGCTGGCGCGCCAAATCAACCTGTCTTGTTCCTTTCTCTAACTCTTGGATGATCTTGTACTTCACCTTGTAGCTTAAGGAACGTTGTGTCTTCTTGGGCTTAGGGCGGCTGGGTCCAGGCAAGGAAAGGTTTCTCTCTGGGGGTGGTGGTCCGGCGGAAGCCATTTTACAGAACAATGGATGCACGATTACACGGTGTGGCCTGGAGGGATGAAACTGCCGCGGCTAGGTTAAGCGTCGTCTTCCCTCCCTCCCCCGGGTGGACACGTCATATTACTTAAAACCAATTACAGCTAGCAGCGGAGGGAGGTAAGGATGCATGGCCAATCACAGTCCGATACGTCATATGACGTCAGTGATAACGCAACAGAGACATGCACTGCACAACCTTACCGCGCGGCTTGGCCAGGCGGAGGTAGAGGAGGGAGGAGGCGGGAGCAAGCTGGTGGGGTGAATCTAAAAATAGCGTCGAGCCGGACACTCTCCGCGTAAAGGGGTACACTCACCGCGGAATGTGAGCATCCTGGGTTCCGGCAGGGCACCGCGTAAACGTGGAAACGCGGAATGTGGGACCGCGTAAAGTGAGGGTTGACTGTACATTTAAACCCCCTTGATTTATGAGAAAAGAAGAAATAGAATGACAAAATACAGTAGATGAAAGTAAAAACTACTGTAAATTTCAAGTTCAACCCTGTTTGTCTCAGCGGGCATTGGTAAGTCGGACGTTCGTAAATCGGGGACCCCTGTATATCATTTGTCTAAACATAACATTTCAAATTATTTTGTGAATCATCATATTGTACTGCATTTCTTATTTATCAATCATAACTCTGGACATTATACTGTTGTCTGCCAGTTTCTTAAACTTGCACCTATTAATGAGTTGTATTACAATGCAGGTAACCTATGTTCCTCACGAAGTGGGCATTTTTGATGTCCGTGTCCAGTGGAACAAGCGAGATGTTGCTGGCAGTCCATTCCATCCTAAGATTGTGGACCCAGCTCGTGTGAGGCTTATTGGTGGCTGGTCTAGTCTACAAGACGGTGAGGGTCGTCTGGAATTGATACCTCGTGAAGAGAAGCGGCTGGCCTTTGACGTGAGTGAGGCTGGACCTGGACGACTCCGAGGTGAGGTAACCCACGAAGATCAACTAATAGAATTAGGCATGGATCAGAATGGTTCACGGGCACGCCTACTCTTCACACCACCAGAAGAAGGTTCATATGAACTCCGCCTGTGGTATGCAGATATACCACTGCCAGACATGCCTGTACATGGTTGGGCTGAGCCTATATCTACAGGTGACCACACAAGAGTTACTCTTCGTGGCCATGGTCTCACTACTGCTCGCTGTGGTGACCAATCAGATTTTGTCATTGATGGCTCAGCAGCTGGCCCAGGAGCACCTGATGTGACCATGACTGGCACTAAAACCGATATATCTGTTTCATTGACACACCAAGAGGGTGGTCTCTGGCAAGCAGTCTACACACCCATGGTGCCTGGTGCTTACCTGCTTAATGTGATGTGGTCAGATCGCCAGGTGCGTGGTTGCCCTCTCAAGATCAATGTGGAAAGTGTGGCAGATGCCTCACGGGTAGTGTGCTCGGGTGAGGGCCTAAGGCATGGGATGGTTGGCCACGAAATTAAGTCTTTCATCGACACTCGACGAGCAGGGCCTGGTGAATTGACAGTTACCTGCACAGGACCCCAAAAGGTGGCATTATGTGACCTTGAAGATCATGGTGATGGTACTTTCACTCTCAACATCAGACCACAGGTACAGTATATATTCATGTTTTGTCCCACCAGTACAGTACTGTATATGAAATGAAACAAAATCTGAATTAAAAATTAAATTATCAGCAGCAAAAGAAATAGTCATATTCAGTAAACTTCCTCTAATCCAGACTAATTGGGCGGGGGGGGGGGGGGCTATCCGGGTTGGGCAGGAGTCTGTATTGTCCACGTTGCGAGGTGGGGGATTTCCGACTCAAGCTTCCTAAGAACACCAAACCTATTGTAATTTTTTACCCGACTTAACACCCTTTGGTTGTTTATATGCCACAAGATTTTTTTGCCACTTAAGGTTTTGACACCGGTGGAAAAAAGTTAATTTTTCTTCAGTCTTTCATACGCTCGGCAGCTTGGTGCTGGGTCTCTGTACACAGTGAGTCATCGAGCAGCTAGTGTTACCAGAAGCTCTCATATGTATGGCAGTAGTGTGTGTGCTGTCTCAGCAACATTTAGACCATGTGCTCCCAAAATACCTCTATTAGAGGGCCTTTATCATATACGTAGACTATTTTGTTTTTATATACATTTATTTAGATAAACTATTCAGGATTATTTTGTTATAAAATGGTGTTTCTTACTTATTTAAATTGATTTTATAGACTAATCTAATTTTTTTTACACATGTACAGTATTTTGTTTTAGGATATTTATTGAAACAACCTTGTTGAGAATTTATACAGGATCATTATGGTACCAAATTAGTCTTCGAACACATATAGAACAGATACTGTTGATAAAAGTTTATACACTTTTTCACTAGCCATAAATATTTTTGCTTGTGGCTGCAGCCTAATATAAAAGGAGTGATAGAGAATCGTACAAAGTAAGAGTGTTTCATATAGTATACATTATTACTGCACTATAATATGTCTGTTTATTAAAAAAAGCACTTATTACATATTAATAATAAAGTACTATACTTATTAATTAACTTATCATGAGATGGTTGAGGTAGGAAGTGATTGTACAGTCTCGTTCAAGATTCTTTGAACACTGCTGGAGACAGTTGGCAATTCAAGGCCGTTTTTTTTTTACGATAGTACGTAGTATAATATAATACGAAATAACAAAACCTAACCATTAATTAAGCAACGGGGAACTAAGTCACCAATTACCAATAACCTTTTACATTCATTAATAATTTTTACTACGTACTATAGTAAACAAATGGCCTTGAGTTGCCAGCTGTCTCCAGCAGTGTTTGAAGAATCTCAAACGAGACTGTTCAACACACACAAGGTACATCTCTAAAGGTGGAGAGGAGGTTATGTTTTCTCTGCAGCTGTAATTTCATTGACTATATGGACTGTACACTATTTTTATTTCTTAGACACTTCACTATAGTGCTCCCCATGCTAACCAGATTTTAGTTGCATTTCTCTGGGTTGGGGATATATGTGTCCAGTGCTAGACCCCAGTCTGGTTTGCAAGGGAATCTAGATTAAACGAGTCTGAGTTAGAGGGAATTTACTGTACAGAAAGTACTCTTTTAGAACACCAATGGGGATAAGCCAGTCAATTACCATCTTTTATGCTAGTTCATGTGTTGAATAACCTGTCTTAACAAATAGATCTTATTATTTAGCTCTGATACTTTCGTTTTTGGCTGATACTGAAGCCAAGTTAATTATTACATAATTATGAATTAAAGAAGCCCAATTTATGATCCGATGTTTTTGATCGAATAAATGCTACTGAGAGTAACACTATTATGTGTTGGGTACAGGAACCTGGGCGACACGCACTGAATGTGAAATATGAGGGTGAGCATGTACCAGGGTCGCCCTACACCCTCAAGGTTGCAGGTGCCCCCGATCCCTCCAAGGTAAACCCCACTATCCAATACCAACCCTTTTCTCTTTCTTGTGTGTTCTTGTATCATCTTAATTTGCTTGTCCTCACTATAATTTAGTAACTTTCCTGTGAAATTGAATAAAATACATGTACCAGTAAAGTGTAGTTTGATACTGAAGATTGTGTTTACAGTTAACAGAATATTTAAAACTGACATTTGTTTTGTGGTGTTCAGTGGCTTTTGTTTGCACTTTACCAATGTAACCTGTTTTTTTTATCCCAAACTTTCACTGTAAGTCATCATTTCATTATGAGGTATTTGCAGATGTGTATACTGTGCTACACCAGCAATCACTTATTGTTTCATCAGATGAAATTTCTTTTCTTACCAGACAAGAAATTTATCATAACATTTCAAAAAATTTATTCATCATTGTTTTTCTGTCAATGTTATATTTCTGCATTTAATGTGATCTCCACAAGTTGTTCTCATTTCTGTATTAGCATTAAAATTCTCCCGTTATTTAAAGGTACGTGTTTATGGTCCCGGTATTGAACATGGAGTGTTAGCTGCCTATCAGAGCCGCTTCATCTGTGACACACGTGGTGCGGGTGCAGGACAGCTCACTGTTAGAATCAGAGGACCCAAAGGTATGTTGTACGATAGCAGCAAACATTGACATAATCATGAACTAAAATAATACATTGGCCGTTGTGTCACAGCCTATACAGTATTTTACTGCTCCAATTTCTCATTAACAAGAATATAATCTTCATATAATTTGTGATATGTTTAACAGGTGCCTTCCGTGTGGAAATGCAGAGGGAGTCTCAGAAGGACCGGACTATCTTGTGTAAGTATGACCCAACGGAGCCTGGGGACTACCGCATGGAGGTTAAATGGTCTGGTGAGCACGTACCCGGCAGTCCCTTCATCGTCATGATTTTTGACACTCAGGACGAACTCAACAAATACATGGCGGTCAGTTCAAAGTTTCAAAGTATTATTTTTTTAGTAGGGAGTTTGAATTATTTTTAAAGTAATGCTGTGGCACTTTTGATTATATTGATATATAGTACATTATATGCCCTTTCTTCATAAAGAATGTACAGTATTATTTTAAAGAATAAACTTATCATATAGGGGTTTAAATACAAAATAACTTCCCACAGGGTGGATATTCTCCGTCTGGGCCTGGTGGAGCTCCTAGTGACTACTATGGTAGTATTGGTTATGGCACTTATGGAGCAGTCAGCTTTGGACAAATGTCATGGCGTGGCTCTCAAGCACAACTGTGAGGGGGGCCAGGGTCCCCACCGAGCGTCGCCCCTCCCCCTAATGCCCCATCCAATAATGGCCTCAGTCCTGGCTCCTCGCCCTCACCCCCCCGTGCCACGCTGGTCACCAATGGCAGAGTGCTCACAACCCCTCGACAGGTGAAGGCTCTGGCTAATACCCGTCGCAGGAAAAAACACCCACCCCTTGACCCAGTTGGTCATAGCTCCATGCCACGACCACCTCCTTCTATTTCTCAAAGACCATTGCCTGTGTATATGTCAACATGGGTTTGGTCCCCACACCACAATCACTTTACAACCCTGCCATCCCCATCACAGAAAGGTCGTACGACCCCCCGACGTTCGATGCCCATGAACGACCCTGCATACGCCGGCATCAACCCGCACCAATTCCGCCGGTATCGTCTCCTCACCAGCAACTTGTAGGGTGGTGGACCCTGGTCCCTCCCAGCAGGGCTCTTGTACATATAGAGGTGTGAGCTTGCTCAGGTTCTCAATGTGGACCTTATTTTGGCTCAGTGTCCTTCATCCACAGTTCTCAACCCATTTCTCACAACAAGCTTCATAAAAATGACAATACCTCTGCCTCCTTACACATTGCACCCTCCCATCAATAAACCATATTTCATCCCTTTCCTCTTACTCTTCATTATTGAAATAAATATATGATTGAAAGTACATAAAATCAATCACATTTCATACTCTCATGTCAGCACCAACTTCATGTTGAAGCAGTGAGCGAGGATAGCATGAGAGGCAACTACTGGGATCAGGTGTGCGAGTGAAGCTCCTGCCTGCCGTCATGATGGGTGACGCCAGTCCAGGCCAGGCCAGGCCAGGCATTTGCCTCGCCCCACCCTCTCACCATGTGCCCCAATATCTGGTGCCATCCCAGGAATTTTTTACATGATCATCACCCATGCATTTTACTCATCTAAAAATCATTCTAAAGTGTAGTTGTTATTGTTTCTATTTTCCCTACTCTTAGTTATTACATAAGAATAGAACACATCACAGGTGTCATAACATCATGGTGATCCTTCCATAGGTTAGGAATATACCTTAAGTCATCAGAGAATGTGATGTTATATTATTAATATATTTAATAGTGCTACTTAATTTTTTTAACTATTTGTAAATGTTGAATTAATAAAGAATACTAATGACATACAGTATATGCCTATTCCCTTTCCAAGGGACTTGTTTTGAGTTATCTCAGAAATTGGATCATGATGACTATTGATTTAGGTCAAGTTCTTGCAATGAAATTTGGTAAACGTATTAGATGTCAAACCTTGGAACATTATTTGATGTACAAGGGTTATTGTACAGTGTTTTATTTTACCTTATTTAACTAATGACCACCCAGTAAAGGTGGCCATGCCAAGGGAAGGAGGCCAGTGTAGGATCTCTCCATTGTCACTTTTACTTTTATCCCCTTTGCCACTGATCAGCTTGTTAGCCTCTTGGGCAGTCAGTCACATCTCTGTTTTGCATGGTTGGTAAGTACTGGCTCCAGGATGGTACCTGCACCAGTGTTAGTCAAGTCTGATCTTGGAAGAGATCTCTGGTGCTGCCATAACATTAGCAGAGTGTTCCAAGAGTTTCACAATTCTCACTGAAAAGTTTGACCTAACAATTTTTTGAATTTGTGGCTTCTTCAACCTTGAGCTATGATCCTTAGTGGGGCCTGGCATCTGACAGCTCCAGGTATGAACACTCGGTTGAGTAATGAATACCCTCCGAGATGTTTATTAACTCCAATTTGGTCAACCTTCACATGCCCATCTATAGTATAAATGTCCCTTGGATGTTTTCAATCGACTGACAGTCTTGAAGCTGGCGGAGATTTTTCTGTAGCTCGTCATAGTCCACTTGGTTTTAATTTCCCTGAATAGCTTAGAATTGTCCACAAACACTTTAATGGACAAGTGTACAGTTGTACCCCACTTAACGCGGTCAATTGAACCCAGAGGGTCCCGCGTTAAGTGAAAACCGCGTTAAGTGAATAACAGAACATATGGAATTAATTCCAATAGAACCCAGCCCGACCCCCAAACTCCACTTTTTGACGACAAATAACTATGTTGTAGTAAAAATTCTATCTTAACTTTATGGTGGCATGAAAAACAAGTAATATAGAAGAGGTTAGGTTAGGAAAGATAAAGGTTAACATAGGAAAAATAAAGAATAGGTTAAAAAACGAAAATTTTTGAGGAACACTCACGGTAGTAGAAGAGATGGGTCGGCATACGGGGATGGAGGCTGGTTCCGAGGCAGAGGGCAGATTACTGCCCCTCAGGTGAATCACCATTACTAGGTGAATCAATATCACTGTCACTTACAGTTGTTATGGCTTCCCTGACAAATCCCTCAAAATCAACTTCACTATCACTGGCTTGGGCTGGCTGTGGTGGGTTGCGGGCGAAGAACTCGGTTATGCTTTGCTGACGGCTGGCTTTGATGTTGTCATGATACACCGTGATGTACGGCTCCATAGCCTGCACCAGTCGGGTATGGAAGACGTCATGGCGTTCATCGTCAGTGTCGCGGGAAACGATGGACTTAATTTTTTCTGTTAACTCTATGACACACTTAATATCACTATGACTTAAACTAGGTTCTTCGGAGAATGACGCACCTTCTTCCTCCTCTTCACTGGCGGGTTCTTCTTCCAACATCTCGTCGGCAGTCACTTCAGGATCTCTGATCACCTCCATGATGTCTTCGTTGGTGGTCTCGGAGAAGCCTTCAGCTGTAATACTGAGCGCAGCTTCTCTGGCAAGGTCCACTGCTACTGCAACAGTCTGAACCTGACCAGTCACAGGTTCACTCCTCCTCTCACCTGGTATGCCATGCAACACATGTCTCCATGCGTGACGAATCGTAGCAATAGACAGCAGATTCCATGCCTCCACCAAGAAGTCTACAGCTTGTTTGACGTTAAACTTCTTCCAAAATTGTTTGACGAGAAGTTCTTGAGTCGCCGCCTCTTGTTCCTTGTCCTCGTCGCTTTTACTCTCGCTGTCGGTGTCACCCAGCTTACGCAACTCATCCTTGGTGTTGGTAGAGTCGTTCAGGAGCTTGAATTTCTTTGCCGAGTATGCAGCTTTAACATTGCAGATTAACTCCTGGTCCATGGGCTGGATTAATGACGTAGTGTTGGGAGGAAGGAAGACCACTTTTACGTTGGGGTGACGATCCATAAGTAGGGGCGAGTGTCCAGGTGCGTTGTCAAGGAGCAACAAAATATTGAAAGGAACATTCTGTTGCTCGCAGAATTTCTGCACGTCAGGAACAAAACAGTTGTCAAACCAGAAGAGGGACAGAGAAGAGGACATCCACGCCTTACGTGCGGTTAGCCAGTGGACATTAAGCTTGTTCATGTCCATATTCTTGTAGGCGTGCGGCTTGCGGGCTTTGTGAATCACCGATAACTTTGGTTTACAGGTACCGGAGGCATTGGTGGTAAACAGGACGGTGATGCGTTCCTTCTGCATCTTCCGGCCCCTTACCTTGCTCGCAGACTGGACAACGAAGGTCTTGGAAGGTAACTTTTTCCAGAAAAGACCAGATTCGTCCATGTTAAACACCTGGTCGTCACTGTACTGTCCTTCCTCCATAATCTCACGTAAAAACGGAGGAAAATCTCTAGCCGCCGCACGGTCAGCACTCGCTTCCTCACCAACAATGCTGATGTTGGTGACCTTGTTCCTCCTCTTAAACCTATGCAGCCAACCATGGGAAGCATTGAAGGGTTTGGGCTCTGCAATTCCCAGTTTACGTGTCACTGCTGCGTATAGCTCACGTGCGTACTCCTGCACTGAGCGCGTGTCCACCGCCATGTTGCGTCGCGCCTGACGCACCAAATAACTCACCAGCAAAGTTTCCACTTTTGCCAGCACCCTGTTCTGGCAATACCTGATAGATGAAGCACCTGCAGACTTTGTGATCTTCATGTGCTCCTTTATCTTGGCTGCATCCTTCTTTATTGTACGAATCGTAGATTCGTTGACGCCATGCTGGCGCGCGAGATCAACTTGGCGTCTTCCTTTCTCCAAATCTTGAACAATTTGGTACTTCAGCTCGTAGCTTAATGAACGTCGTGTCTTCTTTGGTTTAGTGCCGCTGGGTCCAGGTAAGGAAAGGTTTCTCTCTGGGGGTGGTGGTCCGGCGGAAGCCATTTTACGGAACAATGGATGCGCGTTAACCCGGCGTGGCCTTGAGGGATGAAACTGCCGCGGCTAGGTCAAGCGTCGTCTCTCCTCCCTCCCTCCCTCCCCGGGGTAGTCACGTCATAATACTTTAAGCCAATTACAGCTAGCAGCAGAGGGGGGTAGGGCTGCATGGCCAATCACAGTCCGAGACGTCATATGACGTCAGTGATAACGCAACAAAGACACACACTGCGCAACCTTACCGCGCCGCTTACCCAAGCGGAGGGAGGAGGAGGGAGAGGCAGGCAGGCAGGAGGGCGGGTGGGTGGCGCGTGGTCAAAATCTAAAAATAGCATCCGAGCCGGACACTCACCGCGTAGCTGTGGAAAAACCCGCGTTAAGTGAAAGTTCAGCTTTGGCAAGGCACCGCGTATATGATAAAACGGGTTAAGTGAAAGCGCGTTAAGCGGGGTAAAACTGTATAGCTTCTGGCATATAATTTATTAAATAAAAAAAAAATGGGCCTCTTACACTGACCTACAGTAAGGTTCCCAGCTTTTCACGGGTACTCATGACGATTTCATCCCATTAATTACCATACACTGCTTGCAGTCATGAAGAAAGTCTTCGATCCATGCTAGGACACTTCTCCAAATCCCATACCTTTCCAGTTTAATTCTCAGCCTTTCATGGGGTATGCTGTCAAAAGCCTCGACAAAGTCCAGATATATATTGTTGATATATGCGTAAAGGTGCCATCTCTTGTACATAACTTTGTGGACTGTACTGTTGCTCATGGTAGCTGCAGTTCACCTGAAGCATGATGAGTAGACTTTCTAGGGCTGCATTGTATTGTCTCTTGGACAATAGCAACGGTTTTCTCAGAAACACCTAGACGTCCACTTAAAGGCAAGTCAAACACACTTCCTGTTCTCCTACACTTGTGAAACCATCTCCTATTATACTGGGCTTGAAAGAGGGATCCTTTCCGTATTGTCAGCATTAATTCTATTGAACAATTGTCACTGATCTTGACACTGCAAACTAGATAACACACAGAGGTTTCTTCTGCATAGTTAACCATCTTCAAGCTTTTATCATAAACAACTGGACACTCGGATTACAAACTGTAAAATCAAGAAAAATAAATATATTAGTTAAGCAACAAGATATACAAAAACTGCTTAATTCTTTTTTCTTTTTTTTAATAAAATTTTAAAACTGGAAGAGGTATTTGTGGACACCCTGTATAATTATACCCAATCAGTCTGATTAGTCAGTCTGACCACCAGGTTTAGGGTTTCCCCAGGACTATACAGTACAGTGACTGAATACGTTGGGCAAGACATTACATGAGCTGTTTGGTAGAAGGAATCCAACTACGTACAGTATAGTAAGTCCTTGCTTAATGTTGTGGTTACGTTCTTGACACAAAATTAATGGAATCAATTTTCCCTGTAAGAAATAGATAAAATACGCTAGTTACGTTTCCCAGCCTCCCTTTGCCCCCATAAAATACATTACATATACATAAATTCAATGGAATTTTTTTTTTAAATATATATTATACATCCAAAAAAGATAAATAAACTAAATCATTTTGTATTGTACTCACTGATGGGCAGAGGTGGAGCGAGTGTGTGGTGGGTAGTGGAGAGGAGGAGGGTGGCGAGTCACCGAGACCCGGAGGTGAGGGGGTTCCCCCTTGGCTGCTGTTTGCTCTTCCTCACTAGCATCGCTAACACTTGATGGGTGCTTGGAAGCCATTTTGAATGGTTACAGTACAGTATTTATAGCAAAAACACTTAAACACGCACGTACGCTGTGGAAGCCTAACAAAGAATGGGGACGCTGTGACGTTCTGCGAGAGCGTAGCGCGTCAAGGATGATGCGCAGTACAAAGTAGTCCGTTATAACGAATCGGTCGGGATGTTGTCGGAATCATGGGTATCTAAATAGTAGTGACGTTATAATGAAACAACATTGTCTGGGACAACATTAAACGAGAATTTACGGTACTGTATTAGGATTAAGTTTTAAATTTCTGAAGTTATTTTTCTTTGTTTTATTGAAAAAAAGTTTGGAACTGAAACGGAATTTATATACAAAATCTCACAAAAAATTACAACAATAAAGACACAACAACAGATTTATTATGTATGCAATATTAATGTTTCAATAACTGAATTTCTCATACAGTAAATAATGAACTCTGTAGAAAGTGGTAAAAAGAGATAAACTTTTATTTGGGATCATCTGTTGCAATCACAATCTAAGAACAAAATTATGTGTGTAGCTGAAGATCTAGTTACACCTTAGTATTGATAACAGCATAACACTGCTACAAGTTAGGAATATCATTTGCCATAAGTACAATGTACAAAACCCCAAGTTCATTAACAATCTCGGCTAAAGTTGTTGTACATTCACAACATTGGTAAGAACAATAGTTCCACCTGATGTCTCCTGGTTATAAGCTGTCTTCTAAACATAAATACAGACAGTCCTACATTTCGCTTTTTGTACCAAAAATCCAAAGTTATTATTATTATTTTTTCTTAATTTTTTCATAGTATGGGAAGATAGTGAGGCATCTCAGGGCTTCCTATACCAGACCTGTCAGTTCAAGTTAATTAAACTAAAGGCAAGAGTGGCTAAGCTAAAAATAAAATACATGTGTTTTAGTTATCATGACTCACAGGATCACTATGTGGGATTGATGATGTGTTTAGTATCCCAGAATTTGATGTTATGGTGATGGAAAAAATAAAATGTTAAATGGTTAAGTTTAGTGTTTCTTCTTCAGATAAACATCATCAATAATCAAATCCAATGAAAACAAAATGTACATATGTACTGCACAGTGCAGTAGACTTACTGTTTGTGCATCACTATAAAATTGAAGCCATGAATGTCCCACTGCATCACAACCAGTGCTGCAGTTTTCAGTAACTTCTCTGTCCTCCACTGCATGTAATTTACTTATTATTTATATTGTTGGTTTACAGTACAATCATTGTGTAGCTACACTAAATCTTTTAATAAAAAACATGTTTTGTATCATTTTAAGACTTTTTTTTAACATATCTCAACTTTTGTAACAGGAGTCTATGGGAAAGTGATCCAATTTACGAGAAGCCAGTTTATTTACCAGTAAGTTTTTTTCCAGGAATGGAACCATTTCATAAATCAGGGATGTCTGTAAGTGTATCTCTGACTTTATTGGTAGTACTGTACAGTAAATGATATTGTTGCTATACATATTATGGGTAATGATGACATTTTGATTGCATTTTTGGGGATACTTAATGAACTCAGTGGTGTAATGTTACTTTTACTTAGCTCAGGAATGGTCGAGTCTTACTACTACAACATGCAAGTGACGGATGTCTGTTCTTTAATATGGATTAGCAATTCTAATTACTGTACTGGGAATATTAAATATATACTAACATTACATATATAAATCTTGGGTATGTTACTAGCATCGGCTGCAACCTAAGGTAGCAAGAATTATGAGTCATGTTAACTATACTCTAGCAGTCCCTGGAACACAGACAGTTGCAGCAACTAGTCCATAGCGTCGTAGCTGCATAGACTGGACACAATGCCACATGTTGGTGCGAGGGTTGTATTTTTCAGCTGTGTTGAGGAGGGACTCCCCACTAAAACCACCTAGACAGAAGATCCTTCCATGACTGACAGTCACACCAAAGCTGCTACGAGTGCTGATCATTGGTGAGACTGCAAACCACCACAAGATCTTCATTAGCCAATAATTTTTTTTAAATTACAGGTACAGTGTACTTTAAAAAGTAATTATATCTTTACATGCACAAAATGATTTTTTTTTCTTTTCAATACTTTAATACAGTATCTATTTCAGTCATATCTTCTTTTTTTCATAGGTATATATTTGGAAGTCTCTATCTGTCTGTTTGCCTTTGTGTGTGTGTGTGTTTGTCCATGCATCATTCCCCTCCCAGACAAACGATCTCTTCATATTTGGTATTGTTGTAATTGTCTTGACCTACAGATGGTTCTTAACTGGGTTTCATTTCAAAACTTTGAGTTTTGGGGTCTTGGGGCTTATTCTCCCATCTCCAAGAATCTGTAATTTTTAATTTTTCCTTTTTTGGCCTTTTGAAATTCATTTGTTAATTTTTGGGCTCCTTTTGCATTGTTTTTTTGTTTTTATTGGGCCCCAATTAGTAAAACACAATACCCAATATTGACCTCATTAGTAAACCTCAATCACACTCGACACTATACTAAAGCTGGCATGAATTGCAAGAATTACACCAGTTTGGGCAAGAGTTGCCATTTGGCTTTTTGGTTTTGGACCATAATATAGTTTTTTAAATTTGTCAAAATTAACCAAAAAATACTTAAAGGTTTCAAATGTTATGAGCTGTTTTGATTGATTTCAGAAATAAACAAATGCTGCCAATAAAGCAGTTATCACTTGGCCGTAAGACCTGCTCTGCCAATCTTCCTGGGCAACACAGGGTAACTCTGCTAGTACAGTAATATAAGGTTTAGTCTCAACAAATTTGTTTCAAAATTTATTGGCGACAGAATTTTTTCATATTTATTGGCTACAGTGTAATAGCAGGGACAATTTCTTAGCCCAATGCAACAAGGGATCCATCTTCTTTTACAGAACACCTTGGACTCAATTTATTTATAATTTTTCATGATGTTTGCTCATAAATGAAGTGACTGATGTTATACACTTTGCTAAATAAAAAAATTAACAATACGTATTAAGTAATGTATCTAAGGAAGTGAGTGAGACTTGAGGAGATATTGTGATAGGTGAATTTTGGTCGCAGGAGACAGGAAAAGTAACGAAATGATATGAAGTGAATTACAATACATGCCCAGTGTTTGCCAACAATGCGTAACAGAGATATGACCGACTGCCCAAGTGGCAAATAGGATAAAATAATAAAGTATGTATCATTGCCTATTGTGAAAAGAGGGTTAATAATATGAAAATAGGTTATCTGTTGCCTATTAAACATTGTCTCTATTAACCCCATAAAAAATTTAATAAAAAATGACAATATCCTACTACATACAGTATCCTCTTTGTATGGGGCTTCATACAACTCTCTCACGTTTCCCAAAATGAACAAGGTTTATCCTGTCAAACATGTGAGTATGGTCCCCATGACAGTATTAAATGGAAAGTGTTTACTCAAGTTTTAGACTTTATGTCACTCACCTGAGGTCCACTGGTCACGCAGAGGATCGTATCTCTCAACACAGCTCAGCCATCTTGAGCCATTATAGCCGCCAATGGCATACAGCTGGTCATGAATCACAGTCACACCCAAATATGCACGAGCTTGGCCTAAGGGTGCTGATATGAGGGAATGATAAAATGTGTTACAATAAGAGAATGAATATTCTTTACTGGTAATATCATGATTATTCTCAATTCTAACGCAATAATCTGAGAGAATAAGGTTACCTCAAAGGATGCACAAAGTAATACAGGTACTGTATTGTAAATGATATGTACAGGACAATACAGTATATTGAAATATTTTACAAAAAAGATTCTCAGTAAATTACTTTATTACCATAAACAGCATTTCCGGTATACTACAGTATACATAAAACACAAAATACAGTACTTAATCTTATTATGACAACTCAATACAGATGATAGATCAAGCACTAACAGAACTATATTGTCTTGCTTACCAATTGGTACCCATGTATCTGACCCTGGATCATACTTTTCACATAATGTTACAGCTTGACTTCTGATTCCATTGTAACACATACCACCAACCACATAGAGTGAACCATGAAGGGCAACCATTCCACCGTGGCCTCGGGCAACAGTGAGAGATTTGCGTGTGACCCAAGTGTCATGGTGCTCATCATAAACCTTAAAAAGTAAATCAAATGTGTTAACTGTCGAGAAAAGATTGGAATAACAATGGGTTGATAAAAATGCTCTTGAGTATTACAGTACAGTATCTACTCAAGTACCCCTGTGTGCTTACCCAGAGTTCATTATGGTATCTCTGTTCAGACTTCCCACCAGTGAAGTATAGAGTGCCATCCAGAAAAGCAGCAGTCGCTCCATGGACAGGCACTGGTAAGTCACAAAGTTGGCGCCAGGTGTTTGTTAGTACACTGTAACACTCGCAGGAAGCAAGAAAATTTTTATTCGTTTGACCACCTGCAATGAAATGGACAGCCAATGAATAAAAGCAGTAAAAAATTGATACCTCAAGGTGAAAATCACACTACAGTATAGTCTGCATTTACGCGGATTTTGTTTACGAGTTTGGTCATTTACGCGGCACCTTGCCAAAATGAAAATTTTAAGTTACGCGGTTCATTTCATCATTTACGCGGGAAGCGGCGTGGGCAGGGTGCGCATTAGATCGCTCTTACGTATCGGACTGTGATTGGGCCACGCATCCTCACCACCCATGCATTCCCTCCGCCGCTAGCTGTGATTGGTCTCATGTAACATGACGTGCCCTGCCACCAGAGGGAAGAAGTCGCTGACCTAGCCGGGCCAGTCTCATTGTTCTCAGTCTCTGCGTTTACAGTTCTCTCTTGTGCCCGCTATTCCCCTCACAATGGCTTCCGCTGGACCCCCACCACCCGAGAAAAACCTTGAATTACCTGGACCAAGCCATGGTTATATGAAGGAAATCATCGTGTTGGGAGAGAAATTTAAGCTCATCCTTGACAAAGACACAGTCAAGCATCGGTATGAAGTGTCTAATAACCTTCTGTCGAAAGTTATGGAGCCGTATGTCCAGATGTATCACAACAACATCAATGCTAGTCTCGCCCGCAACCCACCACAACCACAGCCAGCCCAAGTCAGTGATAGTGACAGTGAGGATATGAACTTTGAGGGGTTTGTCAGGGAGGCCCTACAAACCTCTGCGAGTATTGATAGTGATTCACCGGAGGGCCACTAATCTGCCCTCTGCCTCGGAACCAGCCGCCATCCACGTGTGCCGACCCATCTCTTCTACTAACGTAAGTGTTAAACACCTTTAGATTTGTAGTTTTTTATTTAGATATTATGTGTGTGTCAATACCATCATAAAATTATGATGTTATTTTTACTACAAGGTACATATTGTGTCGGAAAAAGTTTTACGCGGACCTCCACGAGTTCAATTGACCGCCTAAATCCAGACTATACTGTACAAGGAAAAATTTAATTGGCTCAATAATTGTGACACATTACATTTCTTTTCTGATAAATTAATTATACCTACCAAGAACATATACCAAATTGTTGTGAGTAGCAACAGCACAGTAGGCCCTGGGAGACTCCATAACTGGGAGGACTTGGTATTCATTGTGACTGTGTGGGTGAGCAGCCACATCGGGTAGGCTGCACCGCCATGATGAGAAGCCAAGAGCAAAGCACTCAATATTGCCAAGTATACGACCATTTGAATCTCCACCCATCACGAGTAACACCTTGATGCACAGAAATAGTGTATGTACAGTACATGGGTTTATTTTTAACATGTTCATGTCATTGAAAATAATTTTCCTCTAACAGTCTCGGGGCTGCTACCCACTACTTCACTTGACCCAATATACAAGTGAGGCTGTATAAATGGCAGGACAAACACACACAAATCAAAATATTTCTTACATTATTGACAGTGGCTACATGAAAAAATTAATTCAAAAGGCCACACAACAATTCTAGCACCAGAAGGCATGTGGAAAATCTATTCTAATCATCTTCAGTCATTATCCCTGAGATTAAACTGCCTTATCCTTAACATATATGAAAATCAAGGATTCTACTTTCACTTCCTATTAATATTACTTCCAATCTTAACTGTGAGTGGAACCCACCTCCTCCTGAGAATTATGCCGTGTTTTTCTAGTGGATTCCTTTTGGTTGTCAGAACCATCCTCTAATCCATATGAGTTGATCTCCAAAGGAATTAGAATGTGCTTTAGATCTTCTGACAAAAGATGATTTTCCTCAAAGGAAGCTACCCACTTTATTCTTGTCTGGGTGTTGAGAAATCCCAGATCAATTTTCTGAATGAGAGCAGGTAGCCATTTCTGTCTCTCAGCAGGGTCTTGTGATGCCCATCGAGTCACACCCTGTAAAGTTACATCACAGTAAGACATACAGTACTGTAATACAGTATGCTTAGAATGCATTCATAACACAATTAAAAAGAAAATACCTGTACAGTGCAAGAAAACCTACAGTATGGATGCCAATTCTCAACATTAAATCATCCAACTCATTAATGTAGAAAACCGCTAAGCTTTGACTGGCTTATGACATTAGCTTTTATATTAAAAATTAAATAATTTATTGGCTTGAAAGCCATTTTTACATACAGTACTTGATGCCAAAGAAACCAAAACAGTTGTTAAGAAGAACTTGCCATACAGCACATCCTTGTCAAATATGGTATACAGTAAGTCTACTCTTAATGTCGCCCCAATTAACGTTGTTTCGGTACTACATCGCTGAATTTTAAGAGACCAAAAATTCGTTTAACGTCCCGGTGAGTGCCAATACAAACTTAGTACTGTAGTTCTATATACTATTTTCTATAGAAATGGCAATGATTTTCTGTATATGTAACTTTTTTCATGGGGCAAAGGTGAGGCTGGGAACGTAACTCACGTATTTTATCTATTTCTTATGGGGAAAATAGATCCGCTTAACGTTGATTCGCATAACGTCGCATTTTCAGGAATATAACCCCGACGTTAAGCGAGAATGTCCTGTACTATACTGTAGCTAAATCTGCATATGATTCAGAGTCCTACATTTTAAAAAACACATTTTTAAACCTGGTTGCAATACTTTACTTTATTGTAAACTTCTTTGCCAATGATCGGCTCATTCGCAGCTTGGGCAGTCGGTTCACGCACAGTATTGGTTCCAGAATGGGAGAGTAAATAGTTACGGTATTTGAAAGCAAAACCCAGAAAATAATTAACCTCTTGTGTATGAGGTCCTCTTTGAGCTGAATAAAAGTGTCTGGTGTTAGCCAAATAAAATATATAAAATGGCATCCCTATAGCAAAGGGGATAACAGAACCTAAATTAAGACATGTTCATTCTGTTTATTAAAATCATCTTGAAGTTCAAAAGATATCAAAGGGTAAGAGATGGGTGATGGATAATTAACAATAGACAAAAAAATCATCTCATATGTTTATCCTGGCCTTCAATCACAAGATAAATACTGTACATAAGAACATAAGAACACATAAGAGTGAAGGAAACTGCAGCGGGCCTAATGGCCCATACTGAGCAGTCCCATTTACACCCAACCCCTATTGCTAATATATCCATCCTACCTATGTTTGAAGCTATCCAGTTAATGATGATGTTTGGTAACTTGTTCCATTCAACCACTACTCTACGGTATTTCTAAACCAATGTTTACCTATTTCATGCCTAAATCTAAATTTCTCTAATTTAAAGCCATTGTTACGAGTTCGCTCCTGGTTGGATAGTTTGAGTACCTTTGTAATGTCACCTTTGTTTAGCCCTGACTTCCATTTATACACCTCTACCATATTGCCCCTCACTCTACGTCTCTCGAGGGAGTGCAAATTAAGATGCTTTAACCTGTCTGCGTATTCGAGGTTCCAAATGCCCGGAATTAGGCATGGGCAACCTTTCCACAGTCATGGGCCGCATTACGAGCCAACCCACCAAAATTTTTATCCTATCTAATCCAAAAGTAATTTTAATATTGTATTAACACGGACAGTGAAACACTTTATCATCACGTCCAACTTACTTTATTTTCAGTTTGCAGTTACAGTCTTTTTCCCATTTATGAAACGAATCCATCATAATAATTTTTTTAGGTAAAATGTTAATGCTTCTTGGCATTTAACAGAAGATGAGTGAAGCAGTCTGTGAATACATTGATTTTTCCTGCAGTTACAGCATTTTCCTTACTTATGAGAGACACCCACCAAAATAATGTCAAGGTTAATCTTGGTACATGAGGAACTACAATGAAACAGCCTATTTATTTTACAGGCATGAAGGATAAGATGCTATGGAGAGAGACAGTCTGTAACCAGAAAGAGACCTTTACCTTTGACTCATGTCAGGGGTGTATTCAGGAATATAAAATAGGGGGGTTATAAGATTTTTTGAAATCTGACCAATATCATGGGTATTTTGAAGCCATGAGCACTTGATAATAGGAGATAATCTGTGGTCAATAGTAATTACTCTTTACTATACAAAAAATCCTTGAGTACAATACTGCATTAAAGAAAAAGTATTGGAATTTTCACATGAAAATGGGGAGTCTGGACCCTCAAGACCTCCTTTGTGTGTAACCACTGCCCATGACCCCACTTAGACCTACCCAACCTTAGTTAATGCCCAAGTGACCCACTGCCACATAGCAGCTAATCTATCAAACAGACCATGCCAAACTTGGCCCAAACCTCACACAAGTTAAAATATTTATATTGTTGACTATATAGTTATTTCACTTACATTTTTGTAGTTTCTTACTCTTAGGTGATGAAACAGTAATGAAATGTGTGTGAAGATTATTCTTTTAAAGAATATTGCTTTACTCACCATAAACTAGCTACCTCTACCTGAACCGCGAGCCATATTAAAGAATTTCTCAATCACTCTGCGGGCCACATAAAGACATGGTTCGGTTCGGGCCGCGGGTTGCCCATGTGCTGTATTTTACATAATGAAAAAAATAAATAAAGGCAAAACTGGTACAAGTGCAGTAAAACACCCATAACTTGGCATTCAATAAGTCAGAATTTGCGATAAGTGGGTACACTACAGTACAGCATCGGAAAACCATTACATTTTTTTAGTTGCCAGCAAATTGGCACTAAGCCAACAGGAGCCAAGTCACAAGTGAGAACTCAGCAAGCCAGCTTACACAGAGTTTCAGTTGACAGCCCGTGAGCATCAGTTTACGTGTGCTTCTTGTCACAGGCAGATCTGACACTGATTTAGTGCCTGTGAAATGTTACTGCATAGATACAGGTGTTATGTGTTATGTATATATAGTGTAGTATTAAGTTTGTCAGAACATTTATTTACTGTGTTTGTGAAATGTTACTGTTATGTATAAAGTGTAGAGTACATACTATACAGTAGTGTTAAGTTTGTTAGAATAATTTACTGTACTGTACAGTGTGTACAATACAATATACAGTACAGTTCGTCAGAGGCAAGCTCATCAAGAAATTGTCCCTTTCTGTTGGCTAGTACAGGTACCTTATATGCAGTACAGTACATATATATATATTCATTACCAATAAGGTGGCAAATTCATTAGTACTTGGCAAGGCCTCAGCCCCATATATGCCAAGTTATACTGGTTTTATTGTAAATGCAATAAACAAAGCATATTCAGCAAGCCAGATGCACTGAATTAAACAAACCTCTAATATCTCCTCTTCTGACTCAATGCTGAGGTATAGTTGTTTGAGAAGTGCTAATATTGTTTCTGGCTGAAGTGTAGAGAACACTGGCTGCACCAAGACTTCTGAGAACTGGGAGCAAGCCAACGCCAGAGCATCAGCAGCTAGATCATAACATCGATGGAGAGTTGCAACCTCATAGACATTGAGGCACGTTTGCATCACTAAATGGTTCTTTGGGGTATGGAGAGAAAATTTATTTAAACTTCTTTTCAAGACTACCTTAAAACATAAATAAATAAATTCAACTACTGTACTGGTATATGGTTGAAGAAAAAAAAAAAAAATTTGAAGCCTTTATAATTTCATCAGAAACCCAATAGTAATGTTAAGTACACTTATCTCTTGATAAGGTTATAAATATTGGCATATGTGCAGTACCTTTAACACTACGGCATACAGTATAGGTACAATGCTGTACAATATTTAATTTACTTGTCTAGTGACCACCAGAATTAAATTTCTCAATAATGTGAAAGATACAGTATACAGTACTGTATACTGTATTGTTACAGGAAAAGGTGTAACTAGGGATTACGTGAAATCCTCAGTTTATAATTCAAGGGATTATGGGAAATCCTTAATTACAGAGATTTCCTGTAACATATGCAGGTAAAGTACAGTACAGGTACTGTACAATATATACATTACCTTTAAGTAGTAACAGCAAAGTTTTTTAAGAGCGTGTATTTGAAAATAGTCAGCAAGAGTTAGAACATCTTGTACATTGTGCTCTGTCAGTGTGGCCTGGCCAGTGTAGATATAAGTGAGTACTGTATTCAAAATAGCTCCAGTAACATCTTCCAGAACTAGTGTCTGTGTTCTTCCTTCCAGCAGGCCACCAGATAGCATTGCCCTAAAATTCAAAACAAAAGGACTTTGTATTCAAGAGTAAATAAAACTTCTTTCTAAAATATTTTCCTTTACTGAAGACTATTTTTTCTTGGAAAACAGGCTTAAAAGAATTACAGTACCAGTTTCAAAAGCGTTTCAACAAAATGCTCTAATTTATGGGTCTGATTTTCAAGTTTAATCTGCATAATTAACCTAAAATTTTAACCCGTGGTTAAGTCTTTTACTGTACCAGGCTTTGAATAAGATAATTACTGATTTTAAAGTTTATTGATTATTGTTCAGTATTTAAAACATCCTTAAGGCCTGTACCAAATATATCCAAGCATTAAGTACAGTACAGTATGTATGTTATTGTTAAAAAATTGTAGTTTGTTGGTGTGCTACTGACCTGAAGTAAGGAGATGCAGCTGCCAAGATGACCTTATGAGCATGGATGACTTCATCTTGAGTTTTGATAATGAGATCGGTGAATAGCTGTGACTGCCATGTCTCATGTAGCCCTCGGGTTAGTGTGGCGGGCCACCCACCATCTTCCACACCCTCCACCATTCCTGTCAATAATGAGATCTGATTAGTGATAATAATACCACTAGGCCAAGCAGGGCCGGATTCAGGAGTGGGCAAAGTGGGCAGCTGCTCAGGGGCCTCCACAATCTGGGGGCCTCCACATGTGTGGAAGTAGCTATATCAGGGCTGGTAGACTTGAAACCACATGAATGACTCCAGTCATGTCTCACTTTTGTGTGTGTGTGTGTGTGTGTGTGTGTGTGTGTGTGTGTGTGTTGGGAATTTGTACACTATCAATAAATATACAGTTAATTAAAAATTTCTCAATGTTCTAATTTCCTCAATATAACTGCATATGGCTTCAAAATTCTCCAAAGAAGTGTTCAAATTTCAAAATTTTCCCGGGGGGGCTTACAGCGTCCCCCGGAACTCCCAGATGTTTAGGCTCGCTTCACTCGCCACCCCACCCTCTTGGGTAGTTATAATGAGGGGGGCCTCCACAAACAGGCTGCCCATGGGCCTCCACAGGTCTAAATCCGGCACTGAGGCCAAACACGAGTTTCCATTTTGTGCCATTGCCAGTGGCATGTAACTTATCCTCCAGCACTCCAGCGAATAGACTTTTTTTAATATCACTGTCAAAAGTGGATAGGAATCTGCAAGAGATAATGTAGACCTTCTTGACCCTATTTGTGGTAACTTTCTCCAGATTGGAAGCATTTCCTCTGTTCATCATACATTAAATCATGCAAATGAAACAATCAAAATCTTTAACATTCATTATTGAAATCTGGAGTAATCTTTATATACTGCTATAAGACTTATTTCACTGTGTGTGTGTGTGTGTGTGTGCACGTGCATACTGTCCATACCTGTTCCTTGTTTAGTTACCATAATTACATCATGATTTGGTTAAAATTGTAATGTACAATATCACCAACAACCTGTATAAAATTAACAATTGCTAAGACTTTTAGCAAATTAACTAACCCTAACTTTTCTATTAGGTTTCTTGGGCCACTCTTGAACAAGAGAATGTCTACTACAACGTCAGTGGTAAGAGTACGGTATGTGGAAGAGACTATTAATACCTACAGGTAAATGGTAAATGACATTGATAAGATAGTTTCTCTCAGTCAAGGTTACCGGAGATACACGACACTATTAACTCACTGACAGTTTTAGTTAATTGGTTTAACAAATTTATTGACAAAGCTTGGAGTACAGTTTGCCTATTCTGAGTAATTCAGTTAGGTCTTGACACTGAGGGTGGTATCACTGTTCACTACCATGCAGAACAGAGGTTCATACACAAAGAAATACATCATTGGCACTGATTGGCTTAACTGGTGGAGCTGCTGTTGCCTTGAGTGTTATTGCTGCACCTTTTGTCACTCCAGCATTAAGAATATTCATTAACAGTATATATAGGTCAGATTCATGTGGGTAATGTCACTCTTCGCTGCCATGCAGGGCAGAGGTTCGTACACAAAGAAATACATCATATGCATTAGCAGTACTATATATAAGTCAGAGTCATGTGGGTGATGTCACTGTTCGCTGCCATGCAAGACAGTGGTTCATATACATTGGACGTCGTATTCTAATTGAAGACTAATCAGTGTGGGCTAATAAATTTGGGATAAACAGCAAGAATGTCCCCAAGCACCCCCAAATCAATGTAGTAATTACAAAGTTCATGATACAATATGCCAGGTGGCCTGAAGTCTCTGACAGTGTCACATTCAATAATATTGTGTTCAAGTGTATGCTTTAAAGGTTTATTACAAAGTTTACATGCTGAGTGTTCCGGTATGGGTACCTAATTCTGGCCACGACTACATCACATTGTCTGGTTCTGTCCTTATGCTGGCCATACCGGTACCTCTCGTCACAAAAATTTTCATATTTACTAATGCTACAACTGCCAGGTCTCTCTGCATTTCTCAGTTCTTCTAGATCAGAGTTCATGATTCTGACTTGAATGTTTTTAAGTACAGGTACAGCATTGGACAGGCCAAGGTCACGGTCAACATTTTCTTTCTTACATGCCTCATTGGCCAGCCTATCAGCACAGTCATGATACCTAATTTGAACAAGGGACGGAATCCACACAAATTCGATACGAGAGTTGTTCTCATTTGGAAGTTATCACATTTCTTTTAATATCACATACAACTTTAGACATAGAACCTGGCGGGCTGTTCATTGATTTCAAAGCACATTGAGAGTCACAGAATATCACCCCCCTTCCATTTTTTTAAGGTAGTCTGTAGCTAAGTAGATTCCAGTTAGTTCAGTTTGTGTTGTGCTGGCCCAGTTGTTCAGCCTTTGCTTGTTTGACACTATCATCTCTTTTTCTTTATATATTATATATTACAATTGCACAGCCTGTTCTACCTGTGTTTGTCTGCACAGAACCATCAGTAAAAGCATAACATTCACTTGATTTAATACTCTCTATGTGTCTGTTAATAGTTTCTAGTGTGACACATCTCATCACATCGGTGTTTAACATTTGCTTTCTACCAACAGGAGTGTAATTAATAGGAACTGATATATCCAGCCAAGGAGGAATGGCATTAATGGGTTCATCTGGGGTGATTGGGACATTCAGTTTCAAGAGATCTGCAACACTTTTATGAAGCCACGCCCCCAAAGAGAGTCTTTTGTGGAAGGTTAGCGAGATAGTTGGGATTACTTAGATAGAACATCAACTCAGTTTGAGCTGTAGTTTGGGGACCATTGATCATCAAAACTTTGACACAAAACATGGTATTAAGTAGAGCTATCCTCTCAGATAGGGAGGGCAGTCCGAGCTCTTTCCTCATGTTTACAATTCTGGTTGATTTTGGGCATCCTAGAATGATGCGCATGGCTTCATTTTGCACTACCTAAGGGATGTTGAGTTGTTTTGGCAGAATAGTCACAAGATGGAGAGCATGATAGTCAACTACAGAACGAATGAAGTGAAGATAGAAAGTACGAACATAGGTGATGTTAATTCCATAGCCCTTGCCAACAAGGATTCTGAGGGGTTTAATGCGCTGCATTAGTTTGGCACGAAGGTTGCCAACAAAGTTTGCTTCATTCACACTAATTCCAAGATATTTATAAGAGCTACTACATAGTTCCAAGGGCATGCTGTTAATGTTAAAGTCAAGAGGCAGAGGGTGAGCAGGACGAGGATTGAGGACCCTCGTCTTGTCAACAGATATTAGGAGACCACAGTCCTCCGAGCAAATACATCCAGCAAGGCTTGGAGCCTGAGCTTGGTCGGTGTCATAATGCAGATATCATCAGCGTAGCATATTACAGCCTCGTTTGGCTGAACTGGAATGTCAGCAATAAGCTTGTGCATCAGTATATTAAAGAGCATGGACTTAACACTCCTCCCTGAGGGGTGCCAAGCTCAAATGATCTCAATCTGGCACTTTTGACTCCCCTAAACAGAACACTGGCATACCTGTTGGACAGATAACCCTTTATCCATGTCAGGAGGTTACCTTGGATGCCAAAATTAGCTAGTTGCTCAAGTATAATGTCTCTATTAGCTACATCAAAGGCTGATTTAAGGTCTACGAAGGCTGTTTGTGTCTTATCTTTTGAGTGAACAAGATATTCTGCAAAGCATGTCTGTGTGCTGCGCCTGGGCATGAACCCATACAGATTAGGGGCCAGTTTGTCTTTGACTTGAAACATGAGATGGTTGAGAACAACTCTTTCAAGGACTTTACACATACAGGATGTGAGTGAAATGGGCCTGAAGTTTGGAGAGTTGGCTTTAGAGATTGGTACTATGTTTCCATGAGTCCATGTCTTAGGCAGAATACCCTGTGTGAGGCTCATTTGATACAGGTCAAGCAGTGGATGGTTAGGGACCTCATTTAAAAATCTCAGGGTGTTATAGGTTATGCCATCCTCACCATGGGAGGAGGATTCACCTTTTATTAGTGCTGTTGTTAGTTCAGGGTGCGTTATAGGAAACTGGTCTGTAAGGTCTGGTGAGGAACAAGCTATTTCAATATTGAAACCCCAATTAATGTGTGTGGTTTTAAGATATTTCTGTATGTCAGGATGCAGGGAAGTGATTTGTGTCACACTAGACCATTGGTCTAATAGCATGTCAGCATATTCTGCAGGGCTGTGATGAAGTTGGACTGGGGTGGGTGACTTGGTAATGGCTCTAATTTTGTTCCACACTTCTGCTAGAGTGGTTGTTCTATTTATCTCCTGTAAGAATTGTTCCAAATAGGTGTTTCTCACCTGACATTTGAGTTCACTAAATGCTCTGTTAGCTTTGAGGAATGCCAGGAGGTTATCACTAGTTTTATTTTGCTTATAAGTGTTGTCAAGCTGTTCTACCTTCTCTCCTTCTTTGGTGAGGATGGGGTCATGTGTCCACAGAGGTGGTTTAGTGCTGTCCCCCTTCTTCCTTGACTTAACCCAGGTGGTATAATATGTAATAATGACATTTACAAGATCACAGCAAAATTCATCCACTGACCCAGGTGTATATCCAGCATACCATCTGTGGATGTAGGCCTTGAAGTGCAGTTTAAGATAATCTGGGATGTTAATTCTGAGCGTAGGATGGGGTTCACACTTGACATCAGCGACAGTGTATTCAGTAAGTATTGCATAATGATCACTGACTAGATGGTCTGACATGACCTTAGCCTTGACATTACTGTCTACTAGGTTATACCCAATCACATAAACAAGTCTGCCCCCCATCAGATGTGTCACTTTGTCTGTGTCGTATACAGTGATATTATGATTATTGATGTAATTCACGAACACCCACCCATTAGAGTTACACTGGACATCACCGAGGACAGTGTGACGAGAGTTAAAGTTACCCATACACAGCATAGCATTGTTACCTGATGGCTTTGGTAACACGTCCGCTCGCAGCTCATTACACTGAACATAGATGTTATACAGCGAAAATTGACTGTTTGCTGTCTTTACTGAAAATAGTTGATAGTGAGTATTTTCATCATTGTGAGTTTTAATCCATTTACAGACCAGACTATTCTTT